GTGTGTCTCCACCACGCTGCTTTTGAATTCATTGTCATCTCTCCATTCTGGCAGCCGTTTACCTCTGAGCATTACCATTACTTATATTAGAACAACAGCAAAAACATTAAAATGCTGTAAAACTACTTAATCAGATCTTCAATAGTTTTCCTACTGAGTCAGTGATTTTTCTGCAACTTTAAGATCTTGCTTGCAGAAACATAAAAGCACTCTAAACCAAATGTTTTGAAGCCGTTATGAGGCAAATTAAAAAAACAAACAAAAAAAACCCACACCTTTTTTGTTAACTCACTACAGCAGGAGCCAGGGCCCTCACTGGCCATGTGTCCGCATTCTCATTTAACCCTCACAATTTTAGGAGGTGGGGATCATTTCCCTTTCCTACACCACCAGGAAACTAAGGCTTAAAAGACAGTGTTTGCCTGACGATGTAAAAGCGAAAGGGTTTGGAATCTGGGCATTCTAATTCCAGAGTCCAAACTGATGCATTACACCCTGATGTCCGACAAAATTTCAACTAATGTTAGTCTAGCAAATTCCTCAATTACCAAGTAGAATACAGGGCAACTTCATTTGGCTTAAGATACTGGTAAATAAGTAGGGGAAAAATCTTCTATTACTGTAATGTAAAAGTGAGAAATTGTCTACAGAATTTGGAGGTAGTCAAGTTCAACTAAATTTTTAAGCTTGTATAATCTACTAGAGGACCGGTGCACAAGATTCATGCACTGGAGGTAGGGGGGATGTCCCCTCAGCCCGGCCTGCACCCTCACAGTCCGGGAGCCCTGGGCCTTAGCCTTCAGTCCAACATCGTTAGTGCTGCTGTGGGAGGTGGGAGAGGCTCCCACCACCACCACTGTGCTTGCCAGTCATGGGCCTGGCTTCTGACTGAGCTGCACTTCCCCTGTGGGAGAACACTGACCACCAGGGGGCAGCTCCCGCATTGTCTGTCCCTTGGTGGTCAGTGCTCGTCATAGCGATGGCAATTTGCATATATATGTGTGTGTGTGTGTGTGTGTGTGTGTGTATATATATATATATATAATTTGTGTATATATATGACTCAAGGCCTGATGCATGAAATACATGCAATTCATGCAAGAGTAGGCCTTGCTTCCCCTGGCTGCCGGCACTTGTTTCACTCTGGCACCCAGGTGAAGCAGCCTGGCTTTGTCTGGAAGGTCGTCCAGGACATCCAATCTAATTAGCATATTATGCTTTTATTATACTGTAGCTGTTAGGTTCTTAGCATCAAATATCCCCTCAGACCCAACATTCTGTGGGCAGTCAGGATATTCTTCCTCCTTTATAGGTAACTTCAAGGCCTAGAGGGTCATTTGCCCATATTCCTCAGGGCCCAACCTAGGCCTGCCTCTCTCCTAGGGAGCACCGGATGCCACAAAACTCTATTCCCTCTCACCCGTTATCATAAATGAATTTGCTGAAAGTCAGGGCACCAGCTCCCCCTCAGATGTTAGTTGGGTCCTCGTAAGTACGGTTGACAGTGAATACGGCTCCTAGGGGTTTCTCTGCCCTCCCTTCTAAACCTGAGAAACCAGTCATGAGGGCAAGAATACCATGCTTATGTTGTTACTTAGCGAGAGTGGAGGATGTATTATTGACTTCCTTTACAGAATCTTAATTTCATCACTACAAAGTGGGGCAGGTCAACAATTTCAGAAGGGTTGATTTCAGCTCAAATAAGCGCCAAAGTAACATGAAAACTGAGAATAAACAATGTGTACAATGAAAATTCCTTTTCCCTTTTAGTCAATGTAATCTCCATTTTGGATGCTATCAAATTATGTGTGGTTTCTATTTTAAATAGCTATAGCAGGGACAGGAAAAGGGAAATAGTACTAGCATTAGTTGGGAATTAGGTTCTAGGTATCTTGATATACTTCTCAATTCTTAAGATCAATGAGAATTTATAACTAGTACCACCCCAGGGTAAAGCACTGAACTTTGATGAGTTCACAAACCCAAAGTGTACAAACACGCTATGTAATTAGACAGAAATCCTGAAATTGATCAAAAGAGGGGATCGATACCATCAGAGGATCAGTGGCTCGACTGGTGGCCATGCAATAAAAATATTTTTTGTTTTCCTTTAGTCAGAGTAAACTTGAACGGGCAATCTGAATTAAACTGAGGTACAAAGGGGTATTTATCTAGAGAAAAACACAAGACCAGATTTATTTCATACAATGTTATTCACACATTTTTCATTTTCTAATTTATACATAATATACAAAGAAGTGAAGATAACATTATTTTATATGAACCAATAAGAGCCAGGACTTAAGACAAACTGGTCCAGAAACAATCTATGTTGAAAGGAGACACTCAAGAGTAAAGCCTAAGTGGCTCTGCCAGTTAAGATCCTTTATTGTGAAATACCATTTTCAGATTTTACCAAAACTCCAAGCCAACTTTTATTAAAAGTGAAATCACAGGTGGGTACCCAACATGGCAGACCGTAACATGTCTACAATGACATTCCTTTTCTAGAATAGGCCCCGAAGTACTGGGTCGATTAGGTTGTCAAGACACAGGGGACCATCAGGGCCCCAGGAGAGGGCTGCCTCCCAGTGTGCTATTCCCTAGGTAACTGCCTGTGCCAACAGAGGCTGCGGATAAAGGGAAATCAGGAATCCAACTGTGCAAATCCAAGAAAGTCACTACCAATCTTCAACAAGGACAACTGGATCCTGAAACCATGAGCTGACTTGATACTGAAAACAAAAACTGGACACGGGGACAAGACACCAAGGCTGGCAAAAACAAGGTGGGAAGGTGGGAGAGCAGCTTTGCGGGGGAAGCACTGCCACTGTGACTGGGACATGATGAACCAGTGTGACTCTGACAAGTGACAGTGACAAGTGGTTGGATATAATGGCCTCAGCATGGAATGTTGGGTTAAAAAAACCAGAGCAACTCAAATAAAATATGAAAAAGTATGCCTGGCACCCCAAACTTCATGCCATTATTTTTAGGTTCATGATACGAGCATCTAAGTGATAAAAACCTTTATATTCAATATTGTGCTCAGAAGATTGCTTTTCTTCTGCAGACTTCCTAGTAAAAATCCCTTAATGTTCAATCTAAAGAGATAGCATGGTTCATTAGTTTTCAGCACTAAACATAAGTGGGTCAACGTAAATGTTTTATACAAAATACTGACTTCAACAAAATACAAAGCACTTTCTTTATCTTTCAGAAACTGAATATACAAAGCAAGTTTTTTTTCCAAAATATTTTCATAGGCAAAGGATTAAAAACGATTTTAATTATACACATATGGTCACAATTTTGCCTTAAAAAGATTGTTGGGAAATGTACATAAGGCCGCTTGTAAATGTACATCGTGTTACTGTTATGTCTTATGTCCAGAGAAAAAAATGTTATCATACAGATTTGCTCTTACTTGGGAGTAGGCTATCCAAAAATACAGTACTCTTCTGTACAAAGAAAAAAGTCACATCACATTTAATCGATGGAAAAAGCATTGGCCTCCATGTTAACCAAATATCTCAGTCCAATACTTTCTGTTATGCACAATACCCTGACTTCTTGAAAGGGATCCAAATCCTAGCATGTCCATATTAACTATGTTATAAAACAAAATGTTTCTCATCATAATAAAAAGAAAGTTGGTTCATACTTCTGAAATCATATAAAGATAAAAAATTTTTAAAAAACCACTCCTGATTTGGAGAAATAAATTTACATTATACAACACTATATGCCAGGTCAGAGAGGGCAGGGACATAAATGTACACTAAAATGCAAATGTTTCCCAAAGAGGTAAAACAAATTCCATTTACAGCATGATGGTTTACAAATGTACACCTGTACAACCAAGGAAAGCGTTACTACTAAATTAGCAAGGCTTCTGTAATAAACACTGAAACAAGATTTGCTTTTCCAAATTGAAACTTACCATCTATCACTACACACACAATGCATATATTTATAGGAAGCAAAAAAGGCTATCTGAATATGTAATCATGCTTAAATGTTGAGCTATCAAACTCACTTTTCAGTGGCCCCTTTTCACCTCTATCTGGTTCCTACTTTCTGAAATCTACTATGAAAAAGCAAAATAATGCTCAACACTTCCTCAACACGTCCTTGTAATTCTATAAGCAAAACAATATACAAATTTCCACTCTTTTTCATTGCAAACCAAACCGAAAAGTTAAAATGGGACTTAACTTTCTGTTTAGTGCACTTAACTGGATGGAAGTGTCACCATGATTTTTTTTTTCTATCTCTTACAACAATTACATATGTTAAGTATATACAATACTTCTGTACATTGCCAGAGACATTTTAGGGCAGTATTTGATTAAAACCACATCCACTGTAAATAATGTTAAGTTCTTTTCATCTCAAATCATTTAATTCTTATCTTACTTGCTGAATTTTATTTGCATGATTGATTGTGAATTACCAAAATACAACTTAACTTTTTAAAAATATGAATAATATTTATGTAGTTGATTGTTAATCTGTTATAAAAGGCTTCACACAAAGGACAAAAGAAAAAAAAAAGACTATATTTCTATATACATCTCTATAAACCTGTTGTGCTAAGGGGTCCACAGACCTACCAGAATGCAAGCCAGTTTATTAAAAGAATACTGTACTTTTTCCTTTAAAAACTATTTTTGTGGCTTTACAAGGTAAAAATTTACAAAATATGTGACAGCTTTTTTTTGATACAGTTACATCATATACAGGCATTCTGTGCTTTGCCAGCAATCCAATCTGATAGGTCTCCACTCAGGGTGAAATATCGTTTATAATTCACCACTCCCACCCCCCAAATATACACAAGAACCTTAAAAAATTTACAAATGGATGAATAAAGTCAATAAATAGTTTTGCTTTAAAAAAAATTTTGAAGATTCATAGTTGAGTTGTGTTTTGATAATTCACAAAAGAAACGTTCTTTTCACGTGGTTATGGTTACATATCTTCTTTCTCTTTTTCGTTTATAGCATTCCATTTGGTGGTCCTCCAATAGGCCCTAGATCTGGACTATTTTTCAAATAGTATTTTTCCAGCTTGGCCAGTATATGCTTCCCGTATGTGTATTTGCGCAAAGTAGTAATGTGAGGTCGAATCTGAAAAACAAACGCTCTGCTTAGGATATGTTCTTTTAGTTTCTGATTTCTTAAAAAAGTGCCCCATATCCGAGTACTTTAGAAGAATTGGGATTTTCAAAGAATAGCAGCGGGGCTCTAAGCATAGCAGGAGAGTACCCCTAGTGAGCTACCAGTCTAGAAAGGCAGAATCTTGTAACGAGACAGCTGGACAAAAATTCAATACAAAACAAAGCAGAAAACATAAACAAGTGGTCAGATGTGGCTAATACATTTAAAATGTCCAATATCTTACTAATAGGTTTGAAAATAGAAATGAAAGAAATCATAACATTATCTTCCTATTTAGATCGGCAAGAACTTTATAAATAATTGGTAGTTATGAGATAATGTAAAACAGGTACCCTTTTCATATACTGACTAAATAGATGTGCAAACTGAGAGCAACTTGGCAGTACCTATTAAAATGAAGTAAATGTTTACATAGCTCTACCTGCAATTTCACTCTAAATATTTTCCTTACAAAAACATTTATGCAAAGACATTCATATAAAGCACTGCTGATTACAGTTAAAATATTAGAAATTGCCCAAATAGCTTTGACCTATGAACCAGATCACTGTTCAATTCCCAGTCAGGCACATGCCAACTGGGGCATGAAGGAGGCAGCCGATCAATGATTTTCTTTCATCAATGATATTTCTCTTTCTTTCTTTCTGAAACCAATAAAAATATATTTATAAAACAGTAGAAAATTTAATTCATCAGCTGAAAAATTTTAAAAATCAAAAGGCCAAAAATATTTTTATGATCACACAGGATCATTTTCTCTTTAATATAAGGAGGAATCCAAAGAGATTATGTATGTTATTCCATTTTTTAAATGACTAAATTTAGAAAAAGATCAAAAGTTTTTTGTTTGTTTTTAAATATATTTTATTGATTTTTTTACAGAGAGGAAGGGAGAGGAATAGAGAGCTAGAAACATCGATAAGAGAGAAACATCGACCAGTTGCCTCCTGCACATTCCCCACTGGGGATATGCCTGCAACCAAGGTACATGCCCTTGACCGGAATCGAACCTGGGACCTCTCAGTCCACAGGCCGATGTTCTATCCACTGAGCCATACCAGTTTCGGCAAGATCAAGAGTTTTTAAATATTATTTCCTCCAGTGTTCTTTTTAATAGATTTTTCTATGGAACTTAATGATGTCTTTACAAAATTATTAGATTCCAGGAAGAAGATAGAAAAAACAACCTGATTTAAAACAATTAAACAAATATAAACTCTGTCTCTGGAAAATGTATTATGTTATTGAGAAAATCTAATTAGATTTTTAAAATAGGATGTTCCTCCCATGTAAAATGGCAAATCAAGTATGCCAAAATAAGATGGGGAAGAGAAGAACAATGCTAAAGGTAAATAAATAGATAAGATTTTGATTTTATTGAACACATCACCTTAAGAATTTAATAAAGGGTACACTATACTAATGTAAAATCAGGGTATTATTACCTTCCACCACCAACCTAGTTATAACATATACTACTGGCCTGGTTTCTCAAAATTTGTGCACAGGGGGTGGGGGTGGGGAGGTTTCCCTCAGCCCAGCCTGCACCTTCTCCAATCGGACACCTCTCTCGCAATGAGGGACCACTAGTTCCTAACTGCCCTTCCCTGCCAGCCTGATCTTGCCCCCAACTGCCCTGCCTCAGCCCCCACCACCATGGCTTTGTCCGGAAGGAATTCTGACATCTGGAAGGAATTCCGACATCCGGAAGATGGTCTGTGAACCCGGTCTAATTAGCATATTACCCTATTATTGGTATAGATTATATAGAATAGGATTGCTCAAGGGGGGGGGGGGGCAGGAAGGCTTTTTTCAGCAGGAGATGTTCTTGGTAGACAAAAATACATAATCCCCATATATTGACTGAGAACCAGCTATATGCACTACACTGCCAAACTGGTCATTAAAAAATTAAACCGTTTTCTTACACCTTACACCAAACTGCTGTGGCCCTTAAAATCCCACCTTAGATTCCCACCTTTGCAGTTCACCCAGATTTGGTTCTGATTGGTCAATTTCTGTGCCAGTCAGCGTCTTTGGGCCTATCTCCAGGCCTGATCAGAGAGGCAAGGCTGATCTGCAGCCCTCCTGGAGGCCAGAGAGAAAAAGAGGCATGGCTGCTGGCCAGGCCCAGAGAGAAAGAGAGAGGCAAGGGCTGATCAACAGCAGCCAGAGGCGACGGTTCAGACCCTGCTTCTCTCTCCATGTCTCTCTCTGAGCCTGATCCGCAGCCTCCTGGGCAGACAGTGCCAGCACTGACTGTAGGACAGACTTCTAGTCTGTCGAGCCTTTGGTCGCCATGGACTCTGGGTTTTTATATATTAAGATAAGGAAATTTAAAACCTAGGGAAATTAGATGCATAGCCTAAAGCCACATAAATTGAATCAACAGTTTTCAATGCTATTAAATATATTACCTTGTGCATGATTATCTTTCTCTGAGCAGGTTCAGCCATATCAATCATCTTCTGAATCACATAATTGGCATACTGGTCCTTCATCATGGTGTATAAGGCACTGTGAGGACCGTCATTCTGGCAGCAAACTTCATCAATCAGTAAAGCTCTCTCAGCACGGGAGGCATGAGTAACACACTTTTCTACTACATTGCTGAAAATTAAAGCACATACACAAAAACTATATTGTTACTCTTTCCTTTTAGCAAAATTTCCTTGACTTTTGAAGAATTTGCTCAATACACTGGAAGACAGAAGAATCAAGATAGAAATCTTTTATAATTCTCTTATAATTACTTTTAAATAATATATATATTTTATTGATTTTTTTACAGAGAGGAAGGGAGAGGCATAGAGAGCTAGAAACATCGATGAGAGAGAAACATCGACCAGCTGCCTCCTGCACACATCCCCACCGGGGATGTGCCAGCAACCAAGGCACATGCCCCTGACCGGAATTGAACCTGAGACCCTTCAGTCTGCAGGCCAACGCTCTATCCACTGAGTCAAACCGGTTTCAGCTCTTACAATTACTTTTAAAACAAATTGATATCATAGAAGGACACATATTGGACTTTGCACAAGTTTAATTATGGGCCTCTTAAAATCATAATTAAATTGTAATTAATATTATAATTTTAAAATGGGGAACTAGGTTATTAATAAGATTTCACAAACATGTATAAATAAATTTGCATTTACTCAGAGGTCTTGGGGACATAATTTTCTAACTACAGATTTCAAAAACAGTATATGTGGGCTAACTAATTTGTCATGTTGATTCTTTAAGAATAAAAGCAGCCGAAACCGGTTTGGCTCAGTGGATAGAGCGCTGGCTTGCGGACTGAAGGGTCCCGGGTTCGATTCCGGTTAAGGGCATGTACATTGGTTGCGGGCACATCCCCAGTTGGGGGTGGGCAGGAGGCAGCTGGTCGATGTTTCTCTCTCATCGACGTTTCTAACTCTATCCCTCTCAATTCCTGTCTGTGTAAAATCAATAAAAAATATATTTAAAAAAAAAGAAAAAGAAAAAAAGAATAAAAGCAATGTTCTGCATGTGCTTTTTGACCCTACTAAAGATTATATTTCAATGTTACGTTCTATATGCATTTCTGTGCTTATTAATAACAGCCAAAGAGTTGAAAGAACAGATCTTTAGAACTAGAAAATAATGCAATACCTGGCAAATTTGTGTTGACTCAGGGCTAAGACCTTTCCTCTGATCTCGGAAACAATTTTGCTCTTGTCTTCAGGTCGACCATGTTCCAGTACATGTTGAATAACATAATTGCCATACTGATCCTAAGTAAAGATATTTAAAAATTATTTTCTTTAAGTCATTCCTTAAGAATGATTATTCTTTAAAAAAATATTAAGCATTTTTCTAAAAAACAAATCAAAACATATTATAGTAGTAGTATGTAGTCAGAATACACTAGCTTTTGTCTCACAGTGTGTCTACAGTGTATTAATTTAAGGAAGTTATTAAATAACCATATATATATAAACTTTTTATATTACGAGGGAGCTTACCTGGACCAACTGCTCAGTGTGTTGGTGGAGTTCTTCTAAGATAGGCAAGGTCTGTTCTGCAGTGCAGTGCTCTAGGATGCGCTGGATTACTCTGCATCCGTAAGGATGAGTTGAAAGTACAAACACCTTAAAATAAAAGGGATGAATTAAAATTTCCATTCTCTGACCCAATGAATTAATTTAAATAAAATGGTGGGGAATTCACATTTAGTACATCATCAAATTTGTTGATATTTCCCCATTGTAACACATTCTCAATTTAAAAATTATGTGATTTTCAAATTGCATTAATCCATGGGGGGCTCAATTTAAGTGTTAATAGATATTTTGATTAAAAGGAACCTAAACAGAAGATGAAAAACATGTAATAATGAGAAGAAATGTATTGTGGAATGAGGACAGTGCACACTGTAATTAGAAACTATTAATTACAATGTATTTGTTACTAATTAATATTTGTCTTTTATTATATAGTTTTAAGTTTTCCTCACTTTTCTCCCAAGAAATTTGGGGAAAAATTGGTGTACAATCCTAACAGAGGTTATCTTAACTTCTTAAAGTAATGTAATTAAACTCATATTTCTATTTCTCAGCTTCAAAACAATGAAGGTATTGACAGAGGCAGAAATTAGTGTACATTCACTATTTTGTCTCCTATTTTTTGTATGAAAGTACTGGGTATTATCTTGTGACTTATGAAAAATGTATTAACACCCAAAATCTAAAATAATGCACCACTACATAGGCTAACTAGGTAGAAGCAAAAAAAAAATCTTACTTGTCCCTTGAAAGCGTCAATGATGAACTGTAGTGACTGTGGCTGAACACATTCAATACATTTTTGTACAACATGGTTCCCATTCTGATCTTTCACACATTTGAGTACATGACCATCTAGCTCCTTTACCATTTCACTCTGAAGAAGAGAAGAATGACGTTTAAATAACTGCCTCATCAAACACAACAGGATTACAAATATTGAAATGAGAACAAAAGTATAATCAAAATTTTGTTTGCAATTTTTTTTCATATCCAAGTTTAACCCTCCCCAACAAAGTATAATTTGCAGAAGCCAATTAAGGTGAAAATTACTAAAAATTTTTACAAGATTATAATTTGAATTATACCAACTGAAATATAATTCTAATGATGAACTGGCCATATTTAAACTACTCTCTTTACTGTGTACATCCTCTATTCATCTTTCTCAGCTGACAACTAATATAACTCATTCAGAACTTTTTCCTCTACTTAGCACTACTCTTCCCTAAAATAATTATTTTAAATGACTGCATGAGTCCAGCAGCATGGCTCAGTGATTGTCATGGCTCAATTCCTGGTTACAGCACATGCCCAGGTTGTGGGTTGATCCCCTGTAGGGGACATGCAGATGATTCTCATCATTGATGTTTTGATCTCTCTCCCCCTCTCCTTCCCTCTCTGAAATCAATTAAATAAATATATTTCTGATTTTTACAGAGAAAGGGAGAGGAATAGAGTTAGAAACATTGATGAGAGAGAAACACTTATCAGCCTCCTGCACACCCCCTACTGGGGATGTGCCCACAAACAAGGTACATGCACTTGACCAGAATCGAACCCGGGGCCCTTCAGTCTGCAGTCCGATGCTCTATCCACTGAGCCAAACCATTTAGGGCAATAAAAATATATTAAAAAAAAAAAATCCAAAAACACTACCATTCATTATTCATTAACTGGCTCATGTAAAGCTTACTCCCAAGAGCTTTATATTTTTAAATATTAAAGAAACTTAAAATAACTTTAAATTATCTATACCAGTTTGAGCCTACAGAGAAGGTCTAAGGTACTACATTATCAAATTTATTGATATTTCCTCATTGTAACATATATTCAATTAAAAAATTATTTCCATCAGTTATTAAAAAAAAATTCCTGGTATGCGATTTTCAAATTGCAATTAATCCTTTAACTTAAAATATTTAGACTTTTCCATCCAAGAACATGGTATATTTACCATTTAATTTATATGTATTTTCTTTTAAAGAATTATAAATCTTGTTAATTCTTAGGCTACTTTTCCTGTTGAGTGAGATTTACAAAAACTTCATTCTTATAATTATAAATATAATCCAAATAAACATTGGAAATAGTAAAATGTATTCCCAATATGAGAAAAAATCAAATAAGCAAGTGATAGCAAAACATCCACTGTCTCGCACTCTGCTTATCACAGTAGGTAATAAGATATCTTCACGAAAGAGATGAAATGATGAAGAAAATAGAGAGCAGAGCAAAAATCTGTTGTATAACTATAAAAATATATTTATTTTTATTGATTTCAGAGAGAAAAGGAGAGAGAGAGAAACATCAATGATGAGAGAGAATCATTGATTGGCCATCTCTTGCATGCCCCTCACTGGTGATCAAGCCCGCAACCCAGGCAGGTGCCCTTGACCAGAATTGAACCTGGGACCCTTCAGTCTGCAGGCCAATACTTTATCCACTGAACCAAACGAGCTAGGGCTGCTGTATAACTTTTAATTAATAACTTACTGTTTAATACAGTTTAAAAAATCTTTCAGTTTAACTGAAAACATAATATTTCACTCCAAAATTATTGTAAGACAAAAAAAAGTAATTTAAAAACTGAAAAAAATACAAAAATTTTGTCTTAACTTACAATTACCTGCTGGTCAGATGAAATAGATTCTAATGCTTTCTGAATAACACGGCAGCCATACATCTGCAAGGCCAACGGTAGAACATGACCACGAATACGAGTAGCCAGGGCTAATTTTTGATCCAAACTCCCAAACTGACAGAGAGAAAAATAATATCAAGAAGTGATCATAAAGCTACTTTGCTAAACTTAAAATAACCCACTGTTTGTAACTTACTGAATCAACTTTTAAAATATCACATTTGGGTATTATGAAGGGAGGAGACATTGAGGTAAAGTTAACTAAGATCCAGAGATGCTTGAAATGACAAGTGTATTCCTTTCTTTGGGGTAAAAAATATGTTAACATACACCTTCACTTTTCATTTCAAACCCCCATGTGGACACAAGATGGCTGCCACAAGATGGCCTGTAAAGGAGGGCAGTTAGGGGTGACCGGGCCAGCAGAGGAGGGCAGTTGATGACCAGGTCAGCAGGAGAGGGCAGTTGGAAGGGACCAGTCCTACAAGAGAGGACATTTGGGGGATCGAGGGAGCCAGGCCTGCAGGGGAAGACAGTTGGTGGGGATCAGGCCTGCAGGGTAGGACAGCTGGGGGAACCAGGCTGGCAGGGGAGCAGTTAGGGGTGATCAGGCTGGCAGGCAGAAATGGTTAGGGGCAATCAGGAAGGCAGGCAGGTGAGCAGTTGGAGGCCAGCAGTCCTGGATTGTGAGAGGGATCCCAGATTGGAGAGGGTGCAGGCTGGGTTGAGGGACAGACTCCCCTACCCCTGTGCACAAATTTCATGCACTGGGCCTCTAGACTTTAATAATGAATCTGAGCCATACAAACTAATTAATTCTCAACTATATTCTGACATAAACTACAACACAGATGTTTAATTATAAACTAATAATCAGGTAAATTATAAACTTGAGGCCTGGTGTATGAATTTGTGCATGGGTGAAGTCTGGCTGGCCCACTCCGATAGATAGGATTGGGCCGGGCCAGCTAGGAGGCAGAACCACAGGTGGTTGGCGAGCCGGCCCTGTCCCCAATCAGGGTTGGGGGCTGATCAGGGCAGGGCAGGGCAGGGCGGGCCGGGGGGAGGGGCCAGCCTTCCCCGTCCCAGTTTGAACTCCAGGTTGAACTCCCAAACTTCCAGTTGAGGGGACAATTTGCATATTAGCCTTTTATTATATAGGAAGGATAATATCTAACAAATCCAAGTAAAGACTTACTCCCAATGCTTTGTATTTTCAGTTATTAATTAGGATAAACATGAACCTTCCATTTTAAGGTAGACCCATACTTTTATCTGTTGGACATTTGGGTTGTTTCCACCTTCTGGCTATTCTGTATACTATAATGAACATTTCTTTGGGTATATACAGTGTGGGGCAAAAGTAGGTTTACAGTTGTTTATATGGAAAATATAATAATAATACAAGAAAAACTGTTTTGCCTACTCACAACTATAAACGTATTTTGCCCCATCCTGTATATATCTAGGAGCAAAATTGCTGGGTTGTATAGCAATGTTATGTTTAGTTTTTGAGGAAATGCAAAACTTTTCCACAGCAGTTGAACCATTTTACATTTCCACCAACAATGAATATAAAAGGATTACAACTTCTTCACATCTCCACCAACATTTGTTGTTTTCCATTTTTAAAACTGGTCATCTAATAAATGTAAAGTGAAATCTCATTGTGGTTTTAAAATGTTTCTCCAATAAATACGGACGTTGAGCTTTATACTTATTGGCATTTGTATATCATCTATAAAAAAATGTCTATTCAAGTCCTTTGTTCACTTTTCAATTGAGTTGTCTTTTTTGAACTTTAGTTGTTCTTTAAATAGTGTGTATATAAAATAAATATTTTATATAATTTGCAAATATTTCCACCTAATCTCATATATTTTTACGTAAAAATGACTTTTACCCAACTTCCTGAGCTTTTCTAAGTTTTGAGCATATACTTACTTAGTTATACAAACATGTATGGGTGCTTACCTCAAAAAACTTTTGTATAACATAGTTGCCAAAAACATCTGTCATTAATTGATATGCTGCTTGTAAAATTTCATTAAAAACCATCTGTCGCTCAGCTGGAGTAGCTCTCTCTAGTTTTTGCTGTATGAACCTACATGGAAAAAAAATTTAAATGCACGATGGTACACTGAAAACAAGATCCTTCAAAATTTGTATGACTGCCAAAACCGGTTTGGCTCAGTAGTAGAGCATCGGTCTGTGGATTGAAATGTCCCAGGTTCGATTCCGGTCAAGGGCATGTACATTGGTTGCCGGCACATCCCCAGTAGGAGGTGTGCAGGAGGCGGCTGGTCGATGTTTCTCTTTCATCGAGATTTCTAGCTCTCTTATCTCTCTCTCTTCCTCTCTGTAAAAAATCAATAAAATATATTAAAAAAAAAAAAAAAGTTCGTATGACTCAAGTGCTTACACCCCTAATCCACACGAACACAATTCTTTTCAGAAACAATACTAACACATTTCTACAGTGGACAGCCAAGGTAAGACAAAAGAAAATAGTTATGAAGCATTTCTTTTACAACATCTTTAATTTAAAATTACTAGTTAGACAGGCAAAAAATAAGAATGTAAAGATATTTAAGTTAGTTCCAGTTGTATTATAATCAAAAAGAAAATCACAAACATTTTACTGGTTATTCATGTATTTTCAGATATGCATACAATAGTATTAAATATCTTTTTAGAACATAACAAAAGAACCCTTAGAAATAAAGCTCATCCAACGCAACTGAATCCCTTATAAGCTAGCCCTTGTGAATGACACAAGGTTCATTTGCTACTCTTAAGGAACTTGCAACTAGAGAGGGAGATAAAATTTATATACAGCTATCTAATCAATAACTATATTTTTTAAATTTAGTTTTAGTGCTCTCTTCAGCAGCACATATAACTAAAAATTTCAGTTTTATCTTAAAACTATAAAAAAAGCAAACATCTCAAATTTGACAAATGTATTAGAATTCTATTACCATTCTCCTTTCTGTGCTGTATCTTGAGAACACGACCTCAAGCATAGCTGGTTTGGCTCAGTGGATAGAGCACCAGCTTGCAGATTGAAGGGTCCTGGGTTCAGTTCTGGTCAAGGGTATGTACCTCAGTTGCAGGCTCCTCCCCAGCCAGGCCCTGGTCACAACTACCTCAAGCATTACAGTATATACATATAATGTACAAAGGCACTGCCTTGGCAACTGTGGCTTAGCTGGTTGGAGCATTGTCCTGTACACTAAAAGGTTAGGGTTTGATTCAGAGTCAGGGCACACACCCATGTTACAGGTTTGATCCTCAGTTGGGGAGTGTGAGGGAGTCAACTGATCGATATTCCACTCTCACACTGATGTTTTCCCCCACCCCCGCCTTCCTCTATCTCTAAAATCAATTTTAAAAAAGCATGTCTTTGGGAGAGAATTAAAAAATAAAATGTACAAAGGCACTAAATATTTCTATAACAAAAGTGAATGTTTCAATTTAAGCTAAGTGACATTGAATATCTCTAATAATATGCTAATTGGACCGGACATCCTTCCAGACAAAGCCGGAGCTGCAAGGGAAGCCGGTGCCTGCAGCCGGGGGAAGGAAGGCCTGCTCTTGCACAAATTTCATGCATCGGGCCTCTAGTAAATCTATAAAGGAACACAAAGGCATTTAACTGGTTTTTAACTTTTTTTTTTTTTTAAAGATATATATACATCAGGGATGCTTCAAGTCCACAAGTGAAATAAAAAATTTTTTAAAAATATATTTTAATGATTTCAGAGAGAAAGGGCGAAGGAGAGAGAAACATCAATGATGAGAAAGAATCAATGATCAGCTGCCTCCTGCACGCCCCACACTGAGGACCAAGCCTGCAATCTAGGCACATGCCCCAACCTGGAATGAAACTGTGACCTCCTAGTTCATAGGTCAAAGCTTAAACATTGAGCCATGCTTGGCTGGGCAGAATTCAAAATATTTTAAGAAAATTTAAAGATGTTAAATGATTTAGTCAATGTAATAAAAATAATCCAATAAAAAGGCACTACTTACTATATTTAAGTATTAAAAATTCTCATAAAAGAAAATTGGAAACTTAAAAATCTAAACCTGTATTTTTACTATTTATCCTAATATAAAAGACAAAAATATAATCCATAGTAGGTATTTATTTTTTTAAAAGCATTCAACTTTTATGCAAATTAAATGATTCTAGTCAAGAAAAATTTAGGCTTTTACAAGGTAGCAATTTCTAAGACAAAAATGCCGTGGCACTGGCTGGTGTGGCTCAGTTGGTTGGAGTGTCGATCCATATACCAGAAGGTTGTGGGTTCAATTCCCAGTCACACCACATACTTGGGTTGAGGTTTGATTGCCAGTCGGGGAATATGTAGGGGCAACTGATATCTCTCTCCCCCATCCCCCTCATTCTAAAACAAAAAAATATATCCAACAAGATTAAACATTTTTTTTTTAAATGTAGTGGAAAGTATCAAAAATCATAATCACTTACCTAGAACCATGCTGGTCTTGAGAAAACTCAACTATATGTCCAATCAAGTCTCTAAGTTGCAGGTTTGGGAAGCGGTTATTTCTGAAATCTTCCAATAATCTACTGCGGCCTGAAGGCATAATATCAGACCTGTTATACCGAAGCCTCGGAGGAGGAAAGAGCTGGCTGCTGGAGCTGAACAGACTGGAAGTGCTAGAAGCACTTCGATACTTTGCTTCTGCTCCGGGGGCTGCAGAGATATAGCGACCACTACCATTTGTCAGTCCTCCTACAACAAAGCAGTTATGGTTAGAAAATAGTTTTGACAAAGTCATTCCTCAAAGTTATTTAAACTAAAAATTCAGTCAGAAATTTTTCACCCAACTAATTCCTTTACATTTTAACAGAGAAATAAAAATGGGAGAAAAATCTCACACATTTATTTAATGTGTGTGCTGTGAGATATGGGGAAAAGAGACTAGAAAACATGAGGAAAAACTGTATTTATTCTTGGCAGTTTACTGTATAATTATAACATCTAATATCACACAAAACCTGCATTTGTTCTTAGAAGCATGGTTTAAAACATAATTATAACAATTAATGTCATACATACTAATATCAATAACAGAATACTGAAACTACCAATAAAACTTTCAGTTACATTAACAAGCAAGTTACAGATAATTAGCCAACTCAGATTTGAAGCCACTGAAAAGGAGTTTGACTAAAATTTATTTGGAGTATTAAAGGAACACTAGAGGCTAATCTGTAATATATTTAACAGTGCATTAAGAAGTGTACTTCTGTGTAAAAAAAAATCATTTCTTAGTTAACACATTGATTAATTTTTGTAAGTTAAAAAAAACCACCACAATATTAGACAATAAGTTCAAATGTCACACTATTTTAAAATATTGTTTAATACTCTAAGTACTATCTTATAAGAAATCACAGTAATACATAACATTTATTATTCCTAGAGCTCTAATACTGATCTTTAAGACAATGAATAAAAATCCTCTTTAACTTATATACCATTCTAAATAAGAACAATAAATGGCAGTCAATAGAAACAAAAATAAATATAAGCAGAAAATTGTCCTAAATACATATAACCATTTTAAAAGTACTTGACAGTGTCCTTTTAAAAAAGAAAATGTATAGAAAATTGCTAAATGCAGATTCAGTAGGTCATATTAACAAAAATCCACCATCAGTTTTATGCTATTGTATACCAACTATATGTAGAACAGAGCTGTATATACCACCAGGCCACAGGGTAAAGATGATACCAAGGACACACTGTCGGTGCAAAGGTATAGAGGCCTAGGCCAAAAGAGTTAAAGGACAAGGAGCAGTAAAAATGTTACAATCCTGGAGTGAACTGCTTTACTTTCAGTCCCCAGCTTTATTCTTCTTCATTGAATTTCCCTTCATCCATATTCACTCGAACCCTCAGCCCCCTCTCCAATATAAGTTCCATAAAATTACATCCACTCCCATGCTGGAATCCTGGTGTCTAACACATGTCTGTTAAGTATACAATAAATATTCATGAGTGTTTTATGTATTATCAACTGCCTAAGGGCCAGTTCTATTTCTTTAAAAGTGTGTAACTTAACAAGTCATTTTATATACCAAAACCACTAACACCAAATTCTCATATTCATTCCAGTTATATCTAAAAGGTGAAAGAATTCAGTGTCTTAATACTTGTCTCAATTTCCTATTAACTCTTCTGGTCCACTATTATTATTTCTATTTATATAGTATCATTAACTGTTCAAAACAATAACTGATCACTAGCCCATTCAAGTCCCTTAACAATTCTTTAACCTTTCTGCGGGATAGAGGTGCTATGATTAGCATTCCAATTTCTTTGTACAATTATATTTTCCCACTCAAAGGGCCTCTTTGATGGTGTCAATTACACTAAAACCTATGGCATCCTGCTAGTACATCCTTTATTTATTTATTCGTTTGTTTATATTTTTATTGATTTCAGAGAGGGAGAGATAGAAACATCAATGATGAGAGTGAATCACTGATTGGCTGCCTTCTGCACACCCCCTACTGGGGATTGAGCTGCAACCGGGCATGTGCTCTTGATGGAATCGAACCCGGGATCCTTCAGTTCACAGGCTGATGCTCTATTCACTGATCCAAACCGACTAGGGCCATCCTCTATTCTTTAGTCCAGTTTTTGTTTTTTGTTTTTAAATATATTTTATTGATTTTGTACAGAGAGGGAGAGAGAGAGATACAAAGTTAGAAACATCGATGAGAGAGAGTCATCGATCAGCTGCCTCTTGCACACCCCCTACTGGGGATATGCCCGCAACCAAGGTACATGCCCTTGACCGGAATCGAACCTGGGACCTTTCAGTCCCCAAGCCGACGCTCTATCCATTGAGCCAAACCGGTTTCGGCAATTCTTTAGTCCAGTTTTTACATCATCATTCCAAATCTATTTCTTACACAAATTTCCTAGTACCGCCCTAATGTTCACTGCCTCCCCTCTTATGACTATCTCTGTATTGTTGCTTATTACCTCAAACATAAAGACTATTACTCCAGAAATTACCATGGCAGCCTTATTTGTTATCTCCCAAGTAGTCCTAGAAACATGCAACAGAAGTTTCTTTCATGTCTAGATATTCTTTAATTACATTCTATCAGCAACTAACACCACACTACTCATGCTGACAGCTTAAAATGTCTAATACTGTTAAACTGCCTTGAGTTTAAAATATCTCGGAATTTTGCCTGGCCGGTGTGACTCAGTGGTTGAATGCCAACTGATGAACTAGAATAGTGGTTGGCAAACTCATTAGTCAACAGAACCAAATATCAACAGTACGATTGAAATTTCTTTTGAGAGCCAAAATTTTTAAACTTAAACTTCTTCTAATGCCACTTCTTCAAAATAGACTTGTCCAGGCTGTGGTATTTTGTGGAAGAGCCACACTCAAGGGGCCAAAGAGCCGCATGTGGCTCACGAGCCACAGTTTGCCGACCAGAGAACTAGGAGACCACAGTTTAATTCCTGATGAGGGCATATGTCCGAGTTGTGGGCTCGATTCTCAGTATGGGGTGTGCAAGGAGGCAGCTGATAGATGATTCTCATCATTGAGATTTCTCTCTCCCTTCCTCTCTGAAATCAATACAAATATATTAAAATTTTTTTTTTAAATCTTGAAAATTTCACTACTAAAAGACTAATTAGTATTTTCACTTATAAAACTAAAACAATTTCACTCAGGGCAGGATACCTTCTCTTTCCTACAAATTAAGAAGCATGTAAAACCTAATTTATAGCCCTGGCCACTGTGGCTCAATTGGTTGAGCATTCTCATGCACTGAAATGTTACCAGATTGATTCCTGGTCAAGGCACATAACCAGGCTGTGGGTTTGATTCCCGGTCAGTGTGTGTGTGGGAGGCAACTGATCAATGTTTTTCTCTCTCTCAAATCAATAAAAACTATTTAAAATCCACTTTATAACATACATTAAACATTTGGTTTTCAAACATTGAAAACACATCATTCAAAATCTCCAAGTGATTCTGATGCTGAATCACTGAATCTGATCAAGTATTTTCTAGTCCTAACCCTGTGATTATCTTAACTGAATTAACTGGTGAAAACATTCTGGCACTGAAGCACAAAATCACATTTAATGTATTAAAGGATAATGAGTAAAATTAATCCTTGTGAACCCAAATTAGAACCAAGATCAATAACTTTGTGTACAGAAATGAAACAAAGTAGTTCCTCCATATAAGTAATACTTTTAGAATTTCTTTTCAACGTATTTCAACAAGTAAACGACTTTTAGACACACCAAAAGATTGAAGCAGTGCTTACACCATCATTAGAACCTGTAGGTAATATTCTGTTGAGGCTGTATATGCTGTTCTGTGGCCTGTCCTTGAGTCACCTGCCTGATTAAACATTCTTACTTCATAAAGTAGGTAATATGTTTGGACTTTAAATGTCTAGACAAGAACTTTATTATAAATCTCAAGAGTAAACTGAAGTAAGAAAGGTATCTAGAAGTCTAGTAATCTTATACACAACTTAAAAAAATAACCATGCCACTTTGAGATAAACAGTCTGAGAGGCTGATTAGAATGTTATTTATACACTTGGCAAAGTTGTTCAGTTCATTATAGGATAACAGAAAAAGCAAGAAAAGTAATAGGAATCAGAACTGTGTTCTAGCTTTAGTTCTGTCATGTACTGTCGCTTGGGCTCATGTGACCTATTGTTTTATCATATTTACTGGGCATATCACTCAGCCAGTCTATGTTAATAATTAGGATGAAATGAAATAATGAGCATGAAGGTACTTTAGGAAACTATCAAGTGCTATTCAGTTATAGAGAACTTACTATTTAATGATAATGGTACTTCTAATGAAAGCTTGAAAAAAATCATTTTTCTGCTTTAAGGACTATATATGAAACTCAGAAAAACCGCACACAGCTTTGCAATCAATTTGAACACACTTGTTTTAATTCTTAGACATTTCATTCTAGAAAAGTAGACTATCCTGCCAAATGTCAGGAGTTTTATTAACACATGTAACTACTATTAATAGGAAAAATTATCTTAAAAGTTAATATTATCCCTGCGTACACATTTAATAAAAATTTTTGCTGTGATTAAGAGGGAAGATAGGTTATAAAATTTTCTAATCTTTAGCAAGCTAAAGTACTACGTGATTACTAAATACGTTAATGAATCTTCAAAACCAATAGCCACCTTTTGATAACAAATTTCACTAAATACAAAGCTTATTTTACACGTTTTAGTGTACTTTTCTTATAAAAAACACACACAAGCCCTAGCCAGTTTGGTTCAGTGGATAGAACGTAGAGCTGTGGACTGAAAGGTCCCAGGTTCGATTCCAACCAAGGGCACATGCCTGGGTTGCTGGCTCGATCCCCAGTAGGGGACTTGCAGGAGGCAGCCAATCAATTATTCTCTCTCGTCATTGGTGTTTTTATCTCTCCCTCTCCCTTCCTCTCTAAATAAAAGTATTTTAAAAAACAAACCAACAAAAACAAGCCAGTTCAAAAATGAAAAGGCACAAGGGAAAATATCCATTAGTTTGTCGTGTCCTAAATTAAATACATATACAGAATACTGCTTTTACCTAAGAATTTCTGTATCAAAATAGTTACTATGAGCATAAAAAGATTGGAGTAAATAAGAATCTACTAACATATTTTAAAAGTTTTTTGAAAGAAGGAAAGAGAGGAAACACAAGAAAGGAATAAACTAGTCAACTAGTTCTAGTAGAAGAATAAAATAATAGTGGAAATCTTTAATGTTCTATCACAGGTAGTGAAGTATCTTGAAATAAGATGCTGACTTCTATCAGAGAGGATGATTGTAAGTAACAACTGCAGGTAGAAGACTTTCCCCTATCACTACAGATCAATACATGAGAAAATAATTCATGTATTATTCAACACTGAGCCTGATGCTCAAAACTGACACTGACGCTCTTTGCATTTCAAAATAAAAACCATTCAAGTTCTCTTTCCTTGTTCTTTCCACATGTTTCTCTGATCCAGCAGTAACTTAAATGCTACCTGTAGAGCGGAAGTCAACAGGAGAGCTAATCTGAAGGATTTTCAAAATGGCCCCCAAATGGTAAAATTTTGGGATTAAAAAAAAAAAAAAAAAAAAAAAAAAAGACATAAAATTGATGTCTCAGACTGCAATGAACAAAAACATATCAACTAGCATAAAAATCGCCCAAGTCACAGGTACAATTGCAACAAAAAAACAGTCACCTTTAGACGTTGCTAGGACATAAACTCATCCTCAAAGTTAGAAAATCAAGGGGGAAAAATCAAGCATGGTCCTAACTCATATATGAACTATATATTTCATGGTAACCGCACAATTGATGAGGAAAGGTTCTTCTTATAGAAAAGTTCCAGCTAATAAATGCAGAAGGAGCCACAGAATTAAGACTATCACCATTTTATAACTGCATAAATATTTAGGTAATGACCAAATGGACAACCTCACAATAGACACCAGACATGTGTCTCCTGTTAAGAGTACAGAATCATATCCTGGCCAAGAAGATAAGCCAACAAACCAATAATCAGACCAAACCCCTAGGCTTAATTCCATTTTACAGGAAACACAGAAAAACAACGTTAATATAGAGGAATATGTTAACCCTATAATTGCTTATTGCTATAAGCAAAGTCAAGAATATGGGAAAGTCAACAGGAACAAAGTTTCTTCAACAAATACATGGAAAGAAAAAGACAAAGAGGAAATGGTTCCTATAAAAAGACATATCAAACAAATTTAATGTATGGACTTTATTTGGATCCTGATTCAAACAATACAATTGGAAAAAGACATTTAAATAATGACATTTAAGAAATTAAGAATAATGAGAAATTGCTAATTTTAAAAGGTATGATAATGACATTATGGTTATAATTATTTTTAAAAAAAAGTCACTCTTTGAAATTTCATACAAGAAAATGGAGGAGCTTGGCTGGCATGGCTCAGTGGTTGAGCACTGACCTATGCCCTGGTTGTGGGCTCGATCCCCATTGGGGGCTTTTGCAGGAGGCAGCCAACCAATGATTATTTCTTATCATTGATGTTTATGTCTCTCCCTCTCCTTTCTTAAAAATAAATGAAAATATATATTAAAATGAAACATCTTTCTCGGGAAGCCAGAAGCACTAAATGGTGCCATTAGGCTTTTTCTGTGAATTAAGTAACTAGCATGAGCAAAGAGAGAGCTGGTAAGAAAAAAAAAGAAAAAAAAAGTTAACATGTTTTATCCAATACTTTAAAAATGTAGCTATCAAGGTCTATCATTAAGTATAATGATTGTGTGTCTTACAATCTCAATAACTTGGAACTAATTCCAAACAATTCTAATGAAACTGAAAACTATCTCATGATACTATACTCCTAATGTGTGAGCTCAGTAAAATTATTTTTAAAACGAATATGCAAATTCATTTCCACAGGAATTTTATAAATAATCACAGCCCTGATAACTTTATAAAGAAATACACTTAAAGAACATAAAATTTAAAATAGTTTTTAGACCAGAGAGCATGTGAATCTTGCATCGTGATTGAATCACAGGAAAGCAAAGGATCAACTATTTCCATGAACACTAAACCAAGAGCAAATTTATGAAATTATTTTCAATCCAGCAGTCTATTCCTTGTTAACAATATTGTCTGCATACTACAATTAAAGCCAGAGGAAAATGGAAAGTAATCTACAGGTAATTCCAATCAGAGGTATACTGAAGTGTCAGATTTAAAGGTGAAGGAGTTTAACTAAGGGTACAAAGTACAAGGATAATGTAGAACTGCTGGCCCAAGTTATGATTTCTCATACTTGACTAGAATTCCTTCCTTATGCATCTATATGGCTAGATTTTTAATTCTAAAATAAACACACCTAGATTGCTACTAATCATAGAGACATCTGAAAAGTAATTTATAACCCAATTTCTAAGCAACCTGTGTAGAACAATTAATGCTATTTATACAGGCTCTAAAGCACAACATAAGCAATAACAGTTGACAGGAATCTGACCTGAAACTTACCTATGAAAAAAATGACAGGACATGACATAATTTTAACAAATAAAACATAAAACTACTATGAAAGATCTAGTCTTAGTTATGTTCCATATTTGTGTGTCCACTTCAAAGTTTCAAAGGCATGTTTTACAGAAAGGTGGAGGAAGTAGGTCTGAACAGAAATAATAGAAATCAGGAACTGAGCAGCTCCTGTGACTAAGAAACGATAAATGAAGGAAGGTGTTAAAATAAAAACTGATACATTTACACAAATAATGGTGCAAAGCAGATCATAGGACCCCGCCTGAATAAATTATTTGTGTACATATATTTAATATCCCCCATAGAGCAAAGGTCCAGAATTTGGGGTAGAGGACCAGTTTTTAAAAAGGAATCTGGCCCGACCAGGGTGGCTCAGTGGTTGAGTGTTGACTCATGAATTAAGAGGTCACTGGTCTGACTACCAGTCAGGGCAAATGCCCAGGTTGTAGGTTCAATCCCTAGTAGGGGCATGCAGGAGGCAGCTGACCAATGTTTCTCTCTAATGAATATTTATATCTCTAGCCCTCTCCCTTCCTCTTTTTTTCTAAAATCAATAAAAACTTTTTATTTTAAAAATATTTTGCAGAGACATAATTCTAAATGATTATTACTACAAAAGCTATCTTTGTTACATGGCACTTACTGTACTAATGTGCTTCAGGAAAAAAATATCTACACTTCCTATGATGAGGGGGAGAGGTCAAACATGTCTGCTTTAAAGGACAATATTACTTTTTAAATTGGAAGCAGATTTAAGTATTTCCAAGTACATAAAAATCAGAAATAAAACCTCTCACTTTCGGTAATTTTTGTGATTAGGATTACAAAAATCCAAACTCTAATTTTAATGAAATACTTTTTAGAGGAGACAGGGATTCATATAAAGCCTCAGATATCCAAAAACCTTTCCAAATATACTGTCAACTACTTGGACAAATACTTCTCAGAAAGGTAAAAAGGTAACCACTAATTCAATAATCTTAGGGTGGGGACAATTTTAATATACAGATATAAACAAAGTCCTAAATGCTACAACTTCAAGGGTACAATAAGCTTAAACCATTTTTTTTTTCTTAAACAACGTATTTAAAAGAAAAATATATGGACCAAACCCTTCAGTTTCTTTACCTTACAAATTCATATACCCTTTGGGTAAATGGCCAGGCATTCAAAGGCCAAAGCAAGTTAAATAACTATATGACTAATTGTTTTTCTTCTGGTGTACAAAAATGATAGTGAAAATTGTCTTTCTCTATCATGTACAAATAGTTGACTTTTCAGATGATCTAAAACACATACAAATCAAAAGCACAGACAAGAAAAAACACACCACTGTATTTCATAAGAGAAATAAATACAACAGGGGTCTTTACCTTACTGTACATTAGACCCTCACTTTAAATTTTCATGATAATAGATTTTTTTCAAAAGGCTAATATCTAAAAGCAAAAGCAATTTGGCATGTTTTATCCAACATTAAATATTTTACATATATTATAAACACACACACACAAACACACATGTATACATACAAATAAAAAGGGTTTTGGTTGTTTTTTTTTACCTAAATGCAAACTGGATGAGGATCCATGTGATGAAAGTGATGGCGGAGGCGTAAGTGAATGTCCTGGCGTTTGGCTTGGCAGAGGCATGCCTATTGGACTTGGAGAGGAGGAAAATCCCAGACTATTGTAAAATGGTTGCCCTATGGGTGCTAGGCTGCTACTAGATCTTTTGTACAAGTCAGAGCTAGTAGATAGAGACTCTCTCCTTGTGGCACTACTACTTGCAGAACTGCCAACTGAAGAAGAAATAAAAAAAACCCTAATTACATACAGTGTTAACTGAATAAAACCTATCCCCAACTCTTGCTGGGAAATAACAGAAGTGATCACAATAATTATTTTTAGAAACATTATGGAGAAGATAATTACTGTGATAACTATATATACTAACTTATTAATCATAAAAGGGTATAAATGCACCCCAGTAAAGTCACCAAATATTTAACATAGCAGCCATATGTTCATTATTTCACACATATTTACCACTGACACATGATTACTGTGCTTTAATACCCTGGTATGATTTATAAACCCTGGAATTATAAGTAGTCTGCTTTATGATATGCTAGAGAGTCAAATTCCAATAAGGTTAAATTTTGTTAGTGTCCTAATCTCTGGAGCCAGTTCTCAGACTTCAACTCAATGCCAAGAAAAGACTATACAAAATATTACCACATTTCCCTCACCATTCACATTTAATTTGGCTTCTACCTTGTGTTCAAACCATAGTACTTTAAGTCCATATTGGCCCGAATATTAATCAGCTGTGAAATATAGATGGCAGCTTATTCTCCACTACAAATTCTCCTTATCCTTTAACAACTAAATTACAAAATATATATGAAAAAACTAAACTTTTAGAAAATAGCTCACTACTGTTATTCATACCAAAACACGCTTTCACTTACCCCTCAGGATCTTCCATTCCTAAGATTTTATTACCGGCCCTGTTAGCCCCTTACTCAAGTGAAGACTGATCAGCCTATTTTTTTTTCTTAGATAATATATAAGTATTTTATATTACGTCCCTTATTGTCCTACATACTGAATTCTTTTTACTTAATCCCAAATTCAACTATTAACCTCTACTTCATTTTTCCTTTTGTGCTCTACAAAAATCACAAAATAGTAGAATCACATCATCATATAGCTGTGCATGCAATGAACAGAAAGCAAGATTTGACCGTTAACATTTATCTGGATTCTTTACCAAGTGTTTGAAAGGGTTGTTCAAAACCCCAATTCTTATCTCACTTGGTGTAAATATTTTCAAGTATACTTCCACTTATTTCTAAGCACTGTCCTTTTAAACCAAGTGTCTTTTTCATCTAAGGAAATTTCACATTACTTTTCTTATCCTATCACGTTTTTTAAGAACATGCTCTATATTCGGACCAATGTGGTAATTTGCTTCAAGAGAATGTTCAAGTTTATATTTGGAGTTGGTTTTCTAATCTCAAGTCAATTATAAGTAGATTATAAGGGTATAGATTGAAGAGAAAAATTAAGCAGAGTACATGATGGGTACACCAAGTTAAGCTTATAATTTAGACATATAGAAACTTTAATTACGTTGGTTCTTGTCAAATTCAAAATTCTATAAAGAAAAAAACCAGGCTCCCATGGCTATATTAGGCAAAATATTATAACAATATTCATTCAACCATTTATACCTGCCAGTGCAGTTTCTGAAAAACTGATGTTTTATTGAAAATTTTACATCTTAAGATATCATTATAACAGGGAAATATCAGATAACTATACGCATTTTAATAGCAAAAATGTAAATGCTAATGTAGTAAAAGGCTCTTTTGAGTTGGTTTTGTCAAAATGTCAATGAATGCTACATTAACTATGCTAATTTAAAAGGACACTGTCAAAGTGGTTTTTGTAAGACATGGCTACATTTTAAAGTCCTATTTATTTCAGTAACAATTTAACTGACAAAGACAACAGATCTCTAATGAGAATAGTAGCACTATCTTTCTCCTGGCAAATAATTAAGTGAACAAATAATTAAGTGAACCGTAATTTTGACACATGCAATATTTTCCTCCAAAAAGGAAAAGCCAAACCAAACATTAAAAAGTAATTCAGAAATAACTTTAAACATACAAACTAGCTCCTTTTTACTATATGCTTAAATTATTTGCTAGTGTAATATGAAACAAAGTCTATCTAAAATACCTAAGAAGCTAGACAATAGAATCACTAATCATTAATCAACTGTGTATATAAAATTTTAAATTACAAACTTTCAATTGTAACAGCACTTTCTAAATAATGGGCATAAAAGGATGATTTAATCACCGTATTACAATGGTTAAACTTCTTGGCCAACTGTTTTTATAAATTAGGGTATTTAACAGTTATGCATTAATAATTTCATCATATAAGAGAATGACTGTGTATGTTATTGTGTGCATAAATGTGCACATACTGCAATATATTTTAGATTTTATATAGGCTAGAACTGCCATAATGTGAAATGGCAATGATAGAATTGTAAGCATACATATCGTAGTACTTGAAAATGAATTTTCACAAAATGTCTAAGAGGAGGGAGATGGTATAAAACTATTAAGTAGTACTTGAGGTGGCAATTATAAAATCCCTCTTACTGAAAATCAGAATTGGGTAAGCAATCCTTATAAAGGAGGCACGAAGAAGGTAAGTTTTGGGGGAAGAGGCATCGTTAGGGGACATTTGTGGGAAACAAAATGTTCAGGCCAACCATTTCCTGAATGCAGGGGAAAGCTCTTCAAAACTAAGACACAAATGGGAATTTGGAAGAATTACATAAGGGGCCCTACAAATCTATACTGGACTACCCGCGACATATTTTATTCCTTGGGTTACTTAAGGTTTATAATTTATAGTTTAGGAACTAGTTATTTCAACAAATTTTGAAATTTGTTATATTCTCTTTGATTTTCTTTGGCACATTTAGGATTATTTGGGGAAAATGCTTGTCAATTGTGTTAGAAGCAAAAAATTAGTCCTAACAGAGTCCTTGGGCTGGAGATAAGAATACTAAACTCCAAAAGGGATTTAAAAAAAAAAAAAAAAAAAAAAAAAAAGTAAAAAAATTAAAAGATTGAACAGTCTCCATGTTCACTATGTTCTTCCCTCAGAAGTTATCGTGCCCATTCTTTAGGCAATTTTGTTAGGCAAGGGTAAGTCCCTATGGTATTTCACTATATATATATATATATATATATATATATATATATATATATATATATATATATGGCATTTTGCATCTAGAAGTTTATAGCTGCTATTCAACACCATTCCCCCTATAAATATTTAAAAAATTTAGAAGACCTTTCCCTAGAAACCTGAAAAGCATATTAATAATGGCTGACACGTTAGTTTTGCCATTTTTTCACACCAGAAAAGGATATAACTTAATGGGCAGAAAAACAGACAAGAAGCAGTTTTAATGATTCTAAGATGTGAGAGAAATGAGGGTAAGCATCTTTCCCACTAATGCTTCCTAATACACTGAAAACGTTAGAGAATGATGAATACAAGGTGTTGTCAACAGTGGGTCTCTTCTCATTTCACTCAGTTACAAAATCAGTTTGTAAGGATAAATTATTTAATTTGTGAAGTTATTTAACATTTGAATCTTTTAAGTATTATATATAAAATTAGACCCTGGGAAAAACACCCTTTCAAACCAACTTTTAGTGATAAAAAGACTAATTATTTAATCTAAAATAAAGATAAGCACACTGGTAGTTTCTTAGGGACTTCTGTTTAGAACATTTCATTATATTTTATTATTATATATTATATGAAATAAAGAAAACTGTAAGAATCAGTAGCATTTAATAAAAATAATAAGTACACAAAGACACCAGAAATTTAAGATGGCAAAAGTATTTACTTCCACAAGCATTATGTACAGAATATGGAAGAGCTAGTTAACTAGCATAAAATACAGCTCCAAACAAACCTACCAAAACAAAAATTACAATTCTTAAAACCAGGGGAAAATGTGTTATATTTGAGAAAAGGATGGACTGCTTGAAATGAGTTAAACATTCATAGATGTTTACAGGTTTGCAGGAAGTAGTTTGTCTTCTACAAAAACCAATAAACCAGTATTTTAATCCTGTCCTTTCTACACTACAAGCTATTTATTATTGCTTATTTTAACATTAGAAACATACACATACCGCACATCATCTTAAAAGAAACTTACCTGATGAACCAAATCCACTCAGGGCAGAGCCTATAGCAGCACCCAAAGAACTACTGCTTCCAAAGCCAAGAGATGTACTTCCAGGTTGGCCAGGTCCGTGAGAAAATAAAGAACTGCTCTGGGAGCTATTCGTCAAAGACGTGCCCCCGTAAAATGAATTAGACTGTAGGTTAGTGCTTGGCTGCTGCTGCTGCTGCTGCTGCTGTGGTGGCTGAGTGCCAATTGGCCGAAAGAGACCATTTGTGCTGCCTGTAAGACTATTTGCAGTTCCTCCAGCTGCCGCTGCTGCCGCTGCAAAGTAAATTGCAGATACTTCTTAACATACTCAGAAAAAATCTTTCTAATTTAAAAATATCTCAATCATCATCAGAACAAATGTTATTCCTGAAAATGCTAGTTGCACTTACCAGCTTGTGCTGCTGCTGAACTAATTAAAACAGGTGTTGGAGCCATTAATCTAACTGGAGCTCCAAGGCCAGTTCTCGCTCCAGGGCCAACCACTAAGGCACCAGTCTGATCATAATAGGCAGTTGGAGCTAGTACTTGATAGCCTAAACAATATTAAAATAAATGTTTAGTGAAAACATTTATTGTAGAAAACATGCAGTTATTTTCCCCTGAATGTTTTTATCAAGCAAAAAACATAGCTATTATATACTTATTTACATAAAATCCTTAGTTACTATATGAAAAACATATCTGAGAAGGTATTACTAAATGTGTGAAAATGTAGTAGAGCATAGGTTAAGTTTTAAACATTTGTACGCCATAACCGTCTATAGACGCAAGCAGCGGACCTTTTTTAAATTAAATATATCATGGCAGTTAACTGGTTAACAAAAATGTCTTTCACTTGTGGATCACAAAATGATAAAGTATTTTTCTTTATAAAAAATTACCAAGTGTTGATAATAAAAAATATTTCTATTTATTCATTTCTGAGAGGAGGACTAAGAAAAAGACTAAGAAAAAAAGGTATAACACAATATAGAAATGTTTATTACACATTAGCTAAGTTCTAAACCAAGTGCCTCAAATAACAGCATTCCCTTAGATTTTCATTTGTAAGCATCTCTTTAAAAACTTAAATCATGATATAGATACCTTAAAATCGTAAGGTAACAATCTATTTGCAAAGATTCTCAAGCTAAAATTTGAATAAAAATCATGCAGGCATTAGTTTTTTTCATAGGCCTGAACACAAGGCAGGTGACAATTTGCATTATTCCAAACTATAGGAGAGTGAAGTTTACCTCTTAGCAGTCTTTCTCAGTGGGGATTCCTCATCTGAACCACAGAACAGAAAATAACTATTTTGCCAATTCTCCCAAGGATGATACATAACAAGTATCACTGTAGATGCACAGGAGAGAAGTTAACTACAAATAGTGGATACTTTAAGTCAATAGGGCTTAGTTTACTCCCAGAATTCAAGAGAAAGGCTGCATCCTACAGTAACAGGGACTCAAGCTCAATAGTGAAAAAGTACACTTGAAAAAAGGTACTACCAACCTCCAATATTTTTAAGTTTAAACACTAAGACAACTACTTTCACGTGTAAAGGTTGTTTATAATTAAATAAAGTAATTTTGACTGTTTTACAATTATAGTTTTATTATAATAAATATAAATTAGGACTAGTCAAAGGAAGAGATGCAAAGGCCAAAAATCTAGGAGGGAACGCAGAGCTTCCAAGCACTTTCCTTGTGAATGAACTCATGAATTGATAAATTTGAGAAGATTATTAGATCACCAACAGAAGAGTTCCAATAGGATGTACAACTCTAACGTTTAGGAAAGTTAAAAATCTGGGTGTTGCCAACATAAATATTTAAAGCTATAAGACAAGATGAAATCAAGAAAATAAAAAAGGGATCTATGGATTGAGGGCACTTCACATTAAGAGGTTGAAGAGGAGAAACTAGGAAAGAGACTGAGAAGGAATAGCCAGTAAGGAAGAAAAACAATTTAAATAATGTGGTTTCTTGAAGGCCAAATAAAAAAAGAATTTCAATGAAGATTGATTGATCAACAATGTCAAATGCTGCTAAAAAGCCATGAGCTGAAAACTGAGCAATGGAATTAGCAACCTGGAAGTCACCTGGTAAGGGACAAAAGCCAAACTGCTAGGTTCAGTAAAGAACGAAACTGAAGACCCACAAACAAGTGCAGACAATGCTTTTTGAGGAATTTTGCTGTAAAAAAGGGGGTTTTGAGAGTAACTTTTTTCTTAACCAGAAAATGTACTTTACTAGCAGAATATAACTTATTGTGAAATAAAACAAAAAAAAAGTCAAAAAAAAAAAAAGGTAGTGTTAATAATTGTAACACAAAAAAGTACAACCACTATCCAAGTCAGGAAATAGAAACTGCCCAGGAACCCACCTCTCCTTTGTCTTTGGCTCAACCATGGTCTTCTTTTTCCCTTAAAGAGTTACACACTGTCTTACTGTTTATAACAATCTCTTGGCTTAGATTATTTAAAAGTTTTTATGTATAATTCATCCAAGTGGTTGCATACAGATGTTCCTAGTTTCCATTTTCATTATATAGCCCCTCACTGGATGGACACCAAAATGCATTTATTCAGTCACCATTTACACTGTTCCCAGTCTGGGGCTATTATCAACTGTGGTGCCATAAACATTTCTGTACATGTATCCTTAAGCGTATGTGTACATATTTCCCTAACATATAGTAGGTGACACCCTGAGTCACAGAGTATGTACATTATTTTCAACTTTGGTAAATAATGCCAAGCCACTTCCAAAGTGGTTGTGCAATTTTACACTGTCACCACCTTGGCAATAGTTCCCACTCCTCCATGGTTTTAATGACTTCCCGCTGTCAGGCTTTGTGAATGTGGCCAATCTGGGGGCTCGGCTGCGGTAGGCTTCACGATACCACCCTCTGCGGGTTCTACCGAGAGACCCTGTCTTCTTTTCTTAGCCCCGGGCTTCACCGCCCTGGAACTCTCCACGGGCCTGTCCTTTCCCAATCACGTGGCACAGACTCTGACCATGGCAGCCCTCTTCAAGTAGAAACCGTGGAGGACGTAATAAAGGAAAAGAATTGAGAGTTATGAGAGAGCTATAAACAGGGATGAAGTAGCATTAGAAAAGCAGGTGAAATCAGAAATCAAGAAAATGGCCAAGACTGGTAATAAAGAAGTTTTCGGTTTTAGCAAAAAAGCCTGCACAACTATGGAAACAGAAAACACGAACTTTTGCTGTTGAGTTCAAAAGTCATTTCTACATCCACACAAACAAAAATGATAAAATTCCCAGATGAAGATGGGTGAGCAATGTCTGCTATAGCAAAGACAAGGTAGGCAGATGACAAGATGAATCCACAAAAGACATGACAAACAATGCAGAATTTCTAGTAGGAAAATATGGAAATAACTGAAGAAATGATTGATGACACACCTGAGGACATCTTTGATGGCTCTGCAGATGAAGAAGAAAACCAAGATACTATGAATCAAGTTCTTGATGAAATTGGAATCGAAATTTCTGGAAATATGGCCAAAACTGTCAGTTGCCTAAAGCTGACCATCTTACTCTACTTCAAAGGCTACAATCTCCAATGAAGAAATTTAACTCAAAGCTTTAAGAATGGATTAGTTTAAAAAGCCATAACATTTTATTCATAATTATTTAGTTATAAATAAGGCATATTGCCAATTTCTTTTACAAAACATTTATTTTGCAAAAACAAAGACCATTGGGTGAACAGATGTTTCCTAACCAACTGGTTTTATTTCTCGAAGGACTGCCCTGAGGATTCTGGGCTATTTTCAGCTGGAAAGATGCTACAGTTTATACCATAGAGAAAAAATGGCACTGGCTGCATAGAGAGTCGTCCCGATACACCAAGGTTCTGGGTTCAATCCCTGGTCAGGGCACATACAAGAATCAATCAATGGATGTATAAATAAGTGGAAAAACAAACCAGTGTTTCTCTCTCTCCCCCTGCTCCTCTCTTTCTCTATAATCAAGGGTGTGTGTGTGTAGGGGGGGGGGGGGGAGAAAGAGGGCTATGTTGAGAATACTAATACATATTTTCTATCCCTGTCATCCAATCTATAAATAGTATTAATTTCAACTTTTGGCATCTGAATTGTAAATAATTTATTTCAAGGTAGGCAAGATTTTTCTTGATTATTCACTCTTCAGTGTGACAGTCCACATTTAATATTTTAAATCTATTCAAATAGCCAGTTGCAGGTTCGATCTCTGTTGGGGAGTATAGAGAAGGCAGCCAATAGATATTTTTCTCTCTAAAAATCAATTACAAAATAATATCTATTAAAATTTCTATAATTAACCAACTATATACCTGGCATGCCAGTAGCAAGACCCTGACCAAAAGCCAAAGTTGGATTTGTTGCTGCAAGTGATTCTGCTTGTTGCCCTTGCTGGCCCTGATTGGGAGTAAGAGGGCGCTGACCTGTTCCAGCACGAAGAACCTACAAAGGACAAATGATTTCCTTAAAAACGAAATTATAAAGTAACAGATACATAAATTTATCTTGGACAACTTTGTATATATCACAAATAGCCTTTGAATACTCTTTGAACATATTTATATGCAATGAAATGTCAATTTAGCATGAAATACAAAATACTTAACATTAAAACACAATCATTGACTCTTGACAACTAGAACAATCTATTAAGCAACCTGCAGGTTCTAAAAAAATTACTTTTAGTATTTATGCTCTGACAAAATCTTAGATGAAGACAAGAAGTTTAACTTATGTTTTATTAGTCTTTAAGGCTGAACACTGAAACACAGGAAGCTTAAGGAAATAAAGTATCATTATTCATTTAGTCTGTTAGAGATTGCAGTTGAATGAAAACTTCTAATTGAACAATTGTTTTTAGAATTCAGAAGCTGCTTTTTAGGATAAAACCTTGGGGTGAACAAAAGAACACAAGATTATATCAAAACAAAGCGAAAACTCTTAGGGCTGTTCAAATTTTACTACTTTGCAATATGTAGTTGTTTTAGTGATTAAACACAAGCACAATACACATTAATTTCATAAAGATGAATATTTAAGTAATTGAGGATAAGGGGATTCATTCATTGTAAGACCATCCTATAAGTAAGCATCACACATGGGTGCATTATTCAGGTAGTTGGCCTAAAAAAGAAAAAAATTTAGGTTAAAAAATAATTTTTATATGTTTTTGTATCTATAAGGACTGAGCCAAAAAACAGCTTCAACAAAACATCAATATATAATATTAAACTGTGTTAAAAAAAATTTAGAATAAAATTTAACTGGCAAATAAATAACATATATTTGTCATCAAACTGTTGCATTGCTATAAATATGTTGAATTTGACAACCAGATATCTGGAATTATCAATAGTTTTACATTTACCAAAATAGTTCTAGGAAAGTGCTTGAAATTAAAAAAAAAAAAAAAAAATCTTTGTGATAAACATTTTGTTTGAAGAAGGTAAATCTAACCTTTAGTGAAAATATTTCATCTTTTCGTGCTTAAAAATATGAAGTACCCAGTAATCTTCTTTTTCTGGTCAGAACTATATTAAGTTAATACTTAAATAGTAATTTAAATATCCAGAAGAAAACTGAAAAAAATTGAAGTGACAATTACTTTGATAGAAACATTATTAGCACACTTTAGGAACTGAAAAGAAAATTTAATATTGCTAGAGGTTTCAACAGAAATGTAAAATTGAAATACAAGCAAATCTTTAAATTCATAGACTACGGATTAGAAAAAAAATCATGTAATCGAGACTTGTGCACTAACTACACAGGTATGGACAAAAGTAGGTTTAGTTTTTTGTATGGAAAAAGACATGCAGGTTATGATTATTAAAATAGCTTTATTAACTAAAAAGAATGTCACAATGACACAGTAAACCTACTTCTGGCAATCAGATATATGCATCTCACATATTGAAGAAAATAAAGAGGAAAGACACACATCTTGAACACAGAGAGCTCAGACAATTTCAGACTGTTTCAGATATAACAAAATGAAGGCAGGCCTATACCTGTTGCTGTCCAGGCTGAGCTTGAGATGTGGCTTGCTGATTTGCTGTGTTGTTGGCCGCAGCTGCAGCTTGTTGCTGAAATAAATTGGCTGGATAAACCCCCCATGGAACACCGTAATACTGAGGTGGAACCACTGCTGGACCTAAACCTCACATCCCCGACACACACACAAAAAGAAAAAAGGAGGGGGGAAAAGTCACTACATTTTATAGATAAATGAGGTCAGTCATCACTAGATCATAAAAGGGGACAATAAATCCTATATCCACTTATACCTACTATACCCTTTTATTTTTGCTTATTCTATTAGGGAGAAAGTCTCATTGAAATATTAATTATTATGAGAGAAAGTGTATATTCAAGAGCAACAGCAGTGGCCTTAATGGAGAAATGTGAAGCTAAACTTAAGAGGACCAATGAATTAACAGGACAGTTAACTATTCAACATTCACCAAATGCCAGTTTATGGGTTTGATACTGACAAACAAGTTAATTAGAAAACATTATTCACCAAAGAATTATAAGACCCTCTATCCTCTATTCATTACTTCTCTTAAAAATATTTTCTGACTATTGAAAAGAATTTTGAAAATAAGCTAGACACTCATCTTCTGATTTGCAATCTGTAATATAAAACTAAGGAACATTCTGGTACCAAGCTTGCCACAATTATACCTGAATAGCAAACCTTGAATTTTAAAATATTTTTTATATTTAAAGTAGACTTAGTCACAAGGCAACTGAAAATCACACAAAAACATCAGTGTTTATGTGGTTAGGAAAATGGGACTAGTGAGTCAAGGCAAGAAAAAACTAGTTAATATGGGCACAGAGGAATACAAATATAAGAAAGCAAACTAAGAAAAATAGAATTCTTACTCTTTTACTTAATTCAAGATAATGTTTGATCCCTAGAAAATAAACAGCATCATGTACAATAAGCCCATCATTAAATTAATAAACAAGGTGTCATGATTCCTAAGAAACATGTCCTAATATTTCACTGAAATGGAATTTAGTATATCTGATTTATAGATTTTAAAGAGTCAGACAACTACCAAGAACCTCTGTTCAAAACAGTACATAGTAGCCATTAACAGCTATTAATAGCTTGTGGCTATTTAATAATTAAAAGTTGAATAGCCTAAATTGAGATGTGTTGTTAAGTATAAATATACACGGATTCTGAAGAGCTGGCATAAAAAAAAGGGGGGAAATACCTATTAATAATTTAAAAAATATTGATTGTATATTGAAAATATTTTATATATGTTGGAATAAATCAAACACTGAAATTAATTTCATCTTTTTTAACTTCTGTAAAGTGGCTATAAGAAAATTTTTTATTACGTTATCTGGCTCACATTATATTTCTGCTGGACAGCACTAGAAAGCCAAAGTCCAGAATGCCTAGCATGCACATCTCAAAAGTAATGACCTCTTAAAGTTGCTTCTTTCAGTTTCATAGATTATACTAGCACTTTACACACTAACATCCAGTTAAATGGCACCAAAAAAACTCACATGCTTACGGAATCACATGCAGCTATAGACCAAAAACTACTGAGTGTGATAGATTAGTTTCAGTCAGCAAAGTAAGAAATTAAACAATATAAATTAACTTTTTTTTTTTCCCCACTTCTTAAACTCCTGAATAAAAAAGGCCCCAAACTCCTCGGCAAAGACTGTTCTTATTCCAGTGATGTAGATGACATCACCCTGTGCCTTCCTTGGTAACCAACATAAACCATGCCTAAGACAAACTCATTTCAGTCTTTGTAATCAAGTCAACCTAAAACACACCCCCTCACCCCTTGCCAAAAATTCCTATATACCAGCAAATTACTTTGCTGAGTGAGAGTGTGCCTGAAAAGCACACAATTCTTCTTTACTTAAATGAACAATAAACAGAGCTTCAGTTTCTAAGAAAAATCCTCCCCAGTTTTATTGTGATATAATTGACATATAACACTATATAGTTTTGGTGTCTATTTCAGTTGAGTGGTGGTTTCAAGGTTTGATAGTTTTTTAAGAAGTTCTTTCTAACTCCAGCCCATCTTTTGTCCCTCAGCTTACTTGCAAATTTCAGTATTGCTAAACTTTACTTTTACATACTCGTAACTTAAGAATGCAGAAGCACTTTAACGTATACTTTCCCTGACCTAGATATTTACATCACTAACCTATTTTATTTTTTGAAAATTAACTTTATTTTACATCGTCTCTGTGGGTAATGAATGGGATTGGTCACAAGAATGAAGATTTGTTTGGCAATGTAAGATTTCTGAAACTAAAAAACTAAAAGGTAAACCAATTATGTATAGGAGGAAAGTTATCAGGCTTATGTTTCTTCTGTAGCATTACAGTTAAAAAATAAATCTGGACCTAGCTGGCTTGGTTCAGTGGATAGAGCATTGACCTGCGGACTAAACGGTTTCGGGTTCAATTCCAGTCAAAAGCACATGCCTGGGTTGTGGGCACAATCCCCAGTGGGGTGTGTACTGGAGGCAGCCAATCAAACTCATCATTGATATTTCTATCTCCCTCTTACTTCCTCTCTGAAATCAATAGAAATAAATTAAAAAATAAAATAAAATAAAAAATTCTAGAAACTTCAGCTTATCCTGTATGTTTCAGTTGTTCCTAGGAACTTCAAATTGCCCAAAATAAAGCTTATACCAAGATTAAAACTAAATACATAATAAGTAACAAGGATGAACAATAAGTTACCTGCTAATGTTGCTGCTGCAGCCAATCCTGCTGCGGTATATGGGTCAGTCCCTGCAGGAGCAGCACTAATAATGTATGGATTTGGCACAAATGCAGCTGGAGCAAGGCCTGCTGAGAATACACCAGCTGTATTTAAAAGGGGGAGAAATAATGAATGAAAATGTGAAGTATGATTTTCGTCATTAGGTAAAAGCATTTCTACTCTAAATTTGGGATGGAGGAGAATGTACTTAACAGTTTAAATTCTTGGGCATTTAACAATATATTCAAAGGTTTTTCATTTCTGAAATAGAGATTCTGATGGTCAAAGTTTTCACTTTTCCAACCAGAAAATAAATCAAAGTTAGCCAAAATAAGATAGGCATAAAAATGGTTAGATGTGATAAAATGACATAAAACTATACATGCATATATATTATGTCATATTCCTGGTTTTGGCACTGTACTATAATTATGTAAAGTATAGCTGGGGAACCTTTAAAAAACCAGCACAGACAACACATACTTGAACACTAGTAATAACAAATGTGTCATTTTAATAATTCACATTAAAACTAAAGGTTGGTGTGGCTCAGTGGTTGAGTGCTAACCTATGAACCAGAGGTCTTAGTTCCTAACATGGAGGTCAGGGCATATGCCTGGGTTGTGAGCTCAGTCCCCAGTGTGGGGCATGCAAGAGGTAGCCAATCAATGATTCTCTCTCATCACTGATGTCCCTCTGTTTCCCCCCCCCCCTTTTTTTTTTTCCTCTCTGGGGAAAAAAAAAAAAAAAGATTAAAGGTCCAAAACTTTAATGAAGGAATAAAATATTTTTAAAATTTTTCTTAGGATTCCCAGTGTGGGGTATACAGGAAGCAGCCAATCAATGATTCTCATCATTGATGTTTTTTTCTTCCTCTTCTTTCCTCTCTGAAATCAATAAAAAATATTTTTACAAAAATAAAAATTCTGACTTGATAATGGATACAATTAATTTCACTGGAATTTCCAAGTGTTTGACTCTCTCAACTGCACATTGTGAAATAAAATTATTTGCTGACATTTTTCACTGAATTAGATTTTTATATAACCAAGGATACACACAATAATTAGAAAGAGTTCTTCCCTAGTAAATCTTTACTCCTGCCATGTAATCTATTATTCTTTGATGATCTCAATGAGATGTTTAAAGGAATAATGAAATAACACTCTGTAAAAGGAAAAACATCCAAATGCTTTAACACAGGATTGAGTCTAATCAAAATGATAACTTATAAAAACTCACCTATATGTGGCTGCTGAGCTGCGGCTAATGCATATTGCTGCTGTTGAGCTGCAGTTAACTGCTGAACTGTTAATGCATTAGTCCTTTGAAAGAGCTATTTGGGGAAATATTTAATACAAAAATTAGTCTCAAAATTACATTTCTCTTTAGAAAACTGTGAATAGACTATTTTACACACTTAGTTAAAAAACTTTCTCAACTACAAAAACATTTATTCAATAAAACATGAAGTGTTCAATTGCACCCCTATTATTCATGTTAACGCCTCATAGCACTTCAGGCTACACACCAGTACATATCTAAGAGGAGCGTCTTTAAAGGAGGAGCATGCTTACCTGCTGCTGGGAATTGTAGTCAAAAAGGCCTACAGTAGCTCCTGAAGAGTCCATTGGTACCTGATTACCAGGATAGTCAAACTGTAAAGAATCCAGACCAACTTGTTCCATGGCATCCAGATTCTGAGTTTCAGGATTTGAAAATTCTTCAAGTGGTTTATTAGCTGTAGAATTAGGAAGAGGGCCCAATCCTTCTGGGGAATTAGTATTGGGGCCCAGGCGCTCAACTACTTCAGTTGGAGAGGCTTGACGACTCCCAGGAGTACGACTACACAAGAAAACGGAAAGGCATTATGAGTAAAAGTAACAAGTAACTAAAAAATTGAAATAGGAAAGCAAAATCATAAAAAACACATGGTTGTAAAGTAGAGAGGACAGATTAGACATCCCAGGTCACTAACCATTTCACTTTAAAATGTTATTTGTCTGTTTAAACTAAATTCTTCTTTAAAACTGACATGGTCTTATCTTTAAAAATTATTAATGAATTTTCTTTCCAATTTAAATAGCATAAAGATATAACTCAATTTTATAGATAAGAAAACTGGCCAATACCACAACTTAGACTTAGATTACCTAAAATATTTTTCTCAAATCATAGACAGAATGAATAGTAGGTATAAAGAGCCAACTGGAAATGGCAAATATGGGAAAGCTCAAAACCAAAACACCTACTATACTCCTGTCTACCAGCAGCACAGAATTTTGTTGTAATATTCTGCTAAATATTTCAGAAATAACTGGCTAATGGAATCACTATCGTCTTCAATACTTAAGAGCATAAAAGTAGAATACAGCAGAAAAAGGCAGTTGAACTAAGACCAATGGCAGACTCCTGACTCTGAATATGATTTTAAGAAAATCATTTCATCTTCCAGGCCTCAGTTTCTTTACTGACGAAACTAAAAATGACCTGTGGTTCCAAGTAAAAGAAACAAACCAAAAACTATTTCTAAACCTCTCCCCCTCCATCCTCTGACAGCTCCCCAATTTGGCATAATCTTTATGACACCAAATTGCTCCAGTTTAATTAAGTCATCAGAAAGAAATGAAAATGTGTTAACAATGATCAAAACTGTTTTTCTACAGACTAGCCTCCTTAACTTTCCCCAAGAAATTGGACTAAACTTTAAGCAATGACTCTTTTTATAAAAACAACATCTTTCATCATCTAAACTTTCTTACTTCCAGATAAAATGAATCCTTATTTATGGTCCGTTTTTTTTCCTACAGTAATATTTTTTAAAATTTATCTTTATTGCTGAAAGTATTACAGATTTCCCCTCTTTCCCCACTGACCCCCTCCACCCCCCAGCAGTTCCCTCCTGGACCCTCACCACACTATTGTATGTGTCCATGTGTTATGCATAATAAGTTCTTTGGTTAATGGTTATGCATATATGCACATAAGTTCTTTGGTTAATCCCTAACCCCCCATCTTCCCTCTGAAATATTTTAAATAAGAATCTTTCCCCGTACAAGAAATAAGTTTGTTTTGAGGAACAATGAGTTCACAGTATATTCATATATGTGCTTAAATGGCAATAATTATTTTACCTGGCTTTCAATGCCAGTTTTTACACCTATGTAACTGTCCCCAACCATCAGGTACTTTACATTGGGATAAATCTGCTAACACATACAGAACATTTAATAAAGCAATTACTGAATTATAAGAATGATTTCCCAGATATTTAGGTGAACTTACATTTTATTTAAAGATCAACCACTGTCATGTAATATTAAAAGAAATTTTCAAACTCCTTTCCCCTTTAAGCATATCTAACTTTTCATGTAACTATTCCATATGTTTATTAATCATTCAGAATATATGGAGGAGGGGAGTGAGACTGAAAGGATGTTCTTTAAAATCAGCCAATTAAAAAAATAAAAAGACAGTCTGCTAGAGGTTTTTTTTCCACTCGTTTCAGTTCTATTCCGATAATGTAAATATTGAGGATTTATCAGTTAATGTACATATTATTGACATGCAGCACAGTGACCATATGGCCACAGCTATTAGTTTAAAATGCTTTTACACTGTCAGGTACAATACTGTGTCAAAAAATAATTCCCAAACAATTTAAATACATACTCCAAATTCAATAGAAAATTAACATGCTAATAAATGTAAAGTTCATATTAATATGGAAAAGTATAACCTCTTATACAAAACAACTCTAATTTAGCAAAAAGTGCAGGATACAATAGGAAAAAAGTCATGTGCTGTCAGTGGTGCTCTTTTCTTGCTATAGTTAATGGTGTATTAACACTTCAATTATAAATGTATACTCTGAGGGTTTATAATCAATTCAATTTTAAATGCATGCCCTTGACAAAAATTTAGATTTGGTAACAACAGAAGAGGAAAATCAGGATAAAGTTCTAAGACAAACTGACTAGCATTAAATTTATTTTTTATCAAAAGAGGTTTCCTGGTTTTGGATGCTTTTTTGCACATAGGACAAATAAAATGACACTTTTAAAGAGCCCTGTTTCTCTGCTTTTGATAACTAAGGCAATGAATGAAAAGTGTACTAACCACATGTACCTACACTCAGTTAACGGATCAGAAAAATCTCAAAGAAATGGCTCATTTTCAGGGACAGGCTCAAAGCATCTGATTATTGAAGTATAAAGTATAGGAAATCATTACAAAGAAACAACTTCCTAATATTTAGACAAAGGTGCACCGCCTAACCTAAGACTAAAGGTTAGAAGAAATATTTTTTAATTGCCATAAAGAGACAACTAAAAAGCTATAACTTAGAGAATTCTGAGCTGAAAGCTAACTTTTTGAGGCCTCTAATATGTTCCCTATTTTCCAATTTCAGGAATATTAAGTATTAACACAAACATATATAAAGGTCACAGATCCTCAGAGCTAATTAAGTTTCCTTATTTTCAAGATTAAGAATTAAATTGGAGGTAGAATACACAAAACAGAATAAAAATAGGAAACTTCACAGAAAAGTGCTTAAGAGCAACCTGAAACCCTAACTGGTTTGGCTCAGTGGATAGAGCATTGGCCTGTGGACTGAAGGGTCCCAGATTCAATTCCGGTCAAGGGCATGTACCTTGGTTGCTGGCACATCCCCAATAGAGGGTGTGCAGGAGGCACCTGGTCGATGTTTCTCTCTCATTGATGTTTTTAACTCATCCCTCTCCCTTTCTCACTGTAAAAAAAAAAATCAATGAAAAAAAATATATTTTTATAAGAGCAACTCTAAGCAGTCTGCCAGGAAAAATCACAAATTAAATTTGAAATCCACTAAACTTTAGCAGGGAGGAAAAAGTTACAATTTAGAAAAGTAACAGTAGTTTCTAACATTAACGCCTTCAATGGAATGCACTAGAGAGAATATTTTTAAGAATTGTTTAAAAAATGACTCATAATCATGAATATTTATTTAAAAAATTAAATCTTCCTCCAGAGTAACACAAGATACAAAGGGAAATAACATAAACCAAAACTGGAAAAATGTCTACATCAGTTACATCAACTAGTAGTAATAATCCCTAAAGAGAGATGCTTTTCTTCTTGAGAAAGTTAAAATCTTACTGAAAATCTTTGCAATCGGCATCCATTCCATTTGGCAAACCTCTGCCATTTATTTTAGAATCATCATCATCTCCTTGTTTAAGATCTCTGTTTTGGTCCTCCTCAAATGGAGAAGCCTTGCCTTTTTGTTCTCCTTTCTCAGGTCCATCTGTTTCAGCATCTCTAGTGCCCTGAGGAAAAAGAACCTGTTTGATTCTGAATATTTAATAGAACACACAAAAAGGGCACCATAAGGTGACCTAAAACTACACTATGGTGCATGTAAACAACAAAAACATTGAATCTTATTTTAATTTTGTAGTCAACTAATTTATCAAAGGCCAGAAAATTGAGTAAACATCAGTGATTTATAACAGAAGGGCTAAGGCAACCTTAACTATAGCGGTGCTGGATAAGCGGTAACACCACAAACGAGATTAAAATTCTACTTAATGAAGAGATGATTTTGTTTACTTACTTTCAGATCAAGTACTACCACAAATAAGCAATTTTAATCTTGCAAATTACATGGTTAAGAATATAAATATTCCCTGGGGTTCTACTGTTTCATGTATTTTAAGAAGTGGCCAAGAGGAGAATTTGAACACTAATAGGAAGACACACAATTTCCTTTAGCTCTGGGAAGGGCCAGAAAAATAAACTGATTTAAAGATAACCAAATAACCACTGAGCAATTATTAAATATTTCTTTATTCAAAATACTTACAAAAGTTCCCTTTCTAAATCGAGAATCCAATTTATCAGCAGGAGAAGAACTTAGCACATATTCTACCATGCTCACACCAAGGCCTCCACTTTCTGATCGCGGAGACAGTATTGCATTTACTTCACTGTTTCCATGAAAACCCTGTCCAGATCTTCTCTGTACCATAATAGGCTGGGACAGTGAATGGTCTGTTTGGAAGAAAGAACACAATTTCATATTTGTACTTTTAAGTTAACTGAATAAACTTACACAAATTAATATACTAAAATAAGAAAAACCAGAATACTATTTTATTTTTAATGTTGTTATAGTCTTTATGAAAAGCTCTTCATTCTGCTGAGTCATACTGGGCACATGTCTTAATCCAGATAAAAAGAGCCATTTGTTAAAAAACAGGTAAAAGCCTATGTGAAGTTTTATATGTTTCGTTTTGTTTTAAATATGTCAACCAAAAAGGTCAATGGAGAAACAATCTATAAGCTCAGTTGCCTATAAACTTAAAAAATGAAGCTTCTTCAAATTGATGGTTGCCAGATGGGAGGAGGGCTGGGGAAATGGGTAGAAAAGGTACAGATATTAAAATGCACAAATTACCAATTATAAAAAGTCATACAGAATATAAAGTATAGCCTAGGGAGTATAATGAGTAATATAATAAGTACATATGGTATATACCCTTAAAACTAATACTGTATGCTAACTGTAATTGAAAAATTAGTTATTTTGGTGATTCATAACAACTCAAAATCAAAAACCTTTAGGGATAAATCCTAAATTGGCAGAGGCACTTCTCAAGCTCACTGTTATGTACCGGACAGATGCAGAACACACGGCAACACTGCTATAAACACAAACTTAGTTACAAACTAGTAGTAACACAGAATTTTCTATTCTTGGTGCAAAACTACGTATGGAAGATGTATAAAAAATTGAAAAAAACATGCCGAAACCGGTTTGGCTCAGAGGATGGAGCGTCGGCCTGCGGACTAGAGGGTCCTGGGTTCGAGTCGGGTCGGGGGCGTATGCCTTGGTTGCGGGAACATCCCCAGTGGGGTGTGTGCAAGAGGCAGCTGATCGATGGTTCTCTCTCATTGAAGTTTCTGAATCTCTATCCCTCTCTCATCCTCTCTATAAAAATCAATAAAATACATTAAAAAAAAATTAAAACACACACACACACCAAAAAACCCCACAAGAAACCTAAGTATTGCTTAAAGGGTATTTTTAAAAGTTCCTTCTAGTTTAAAAGTTTTCCATTTGTTTTTGTTTAATAAAAAACTATCCATCAGGTATAAAAATACCCTTTCTAAATATTTCTGTGACAAAAGAAAAGGCAGTGTTTAAGCTCTGAGAGCAAATGAATACATATAATAAAACATTTGAGGCAATATTCATACAGATTTGAAAAAAAAACAGGATTTTTTTTAAAGGAACCAATAGGCTGTCAGCTACCTCTGGCTTATTTGTGAACATGTTCAATATTCAACATGAGGTCTAGTCCTTAAAGGGCTGAATTATCACAGAGGTACTCAGTCTTTATTTCATTGTAACTGTAATAATGTTTAAATGATTGCTACCATATTAAACCATATGAGAACATTTCTATTTTAATGCCTTTATGCATGAGAGATTTAGCCATATTTTTTATTTGATCATTCACTAATTCATTTACCCAATTTGAATACTGACTTACTGTCTGTTGTATGAAAGAACGAAGAAGATAGTCCCTACTCTCAAAGATATTATAGGCTTAACAGAAGGCAACCATAACAGAGTAAAAAAATACTTCAATAAAAAAAATCCAGAATATTATTAGAAGGGAACAAAAGGGTATCAATCTTTTCTAGTCTTAGAGTAATTCCCAATAGGAAGGACATGAATAAAGTGGGCCAAAAAAAGGGGAGGGGGAAGTTGGGGGTAGAAAGAGCATTTCAGTTAGGAGAAACCAGCATGTTCAAATATCTGGAAGTGCCAGAACAAAATGAAATTAACAATCACAAGTAGTTCAGTTCAGCTGAGAAGGAAATATGACAATCTCCTGCAGTCACGGAAATAATCTTTCTTAGAACAACAATTCCTTTAGAACAGGAATGTGTTATTTATATTTGTACATGCTTGGAATTCAATAAAGTTTGTTCAAGTAAATATAATAACTCCATTTCTCATGTTTCCTACTAAAAACTAATATTCCTTTTCAAAATTTTATCCATACTACTAAAATAATCAGGAGACTGGTATAAGGAATTACCTAAAATTATAATTTAGAAATATCAGGAACAAATGCTGTGCTCAAGATGCTTTGCTTCGGAATGCTTTAAAAAATATCTGGATCTGGTAAATACAGTTATTAATCACTCAACTCCCAAAACAAAAATCAAAGCATGTCTATCTACCAAGTTCTCAAGCACACGTGATTTCTAGCAAAGTAAGTACCTTTTGGGAGAAAAATGTATCTAAATGAATAATTTAAATTAAGAGTCCAATCTAATATATGTTAAAATTCACGGGGGGATTCCTTGAGGCAAAAGATCATACATCATAATGTATTGAGAATACATTACCACTGGCTGGGGAAATGGGTGGAAAAGGTACAGATCAAACACTACCATAAACTGGTAATGCTTACTGGTTAAACTCAAAGAAAATTCTCATTATTTTAAGGAAAATTTAGTTTAAATTAGTAGTTACCAAAGCTTTCAATCTTTTTCTTAAATATGTTTTTTAATTGATTTCAGAGAGATGAAAGGAGAGAAATATTCATTGGCTGCCTCCTGCACATCCCCTACTGGGGATCAAGCCCGCTGAACCAGGGCAAGGGTGTGACCAGAAATAGAACTGGCAATCTTTTAGTGAATGGAAAGATGCTCAACCAATTGAGCCAAACTGGCCAGGGCTTTCATTTCTCTTTTCATTTTTAATGCAGAGTATTAACTGTCATGAATAGAGTGAGAAATTGGGGAGCTGGGTGAAAATGGTTAAGGAATGGGGAACCACAAACTGGTAGTCACAAAATGGTCCTGAGAATGTATAGAACAGCAGAGAGAATATAGTCATCAATGTAATAATTACGTACGGTGTCAGTTGGGTACCTGAAATATCATATACTTATAAAGTATATGACTGTCTGTCTAGCCACTATGGTATACACATAAAACTTTAAAAAAAAAAGGGGGGGGGGGCACAACCAGTGTGGCTGAGGTTGAGCGTCAACCTATGAACCAGGTCACAGTTTAATTTCTGATCAGGACACATGCCAAGGTTTCGGGCTCAATCCTGAATAGGAGGCATGCAGGAGGCAGTCGATCAATGATTCTCTCCCATCATTGATGTTTCTATCACTCTTTCCCTCTCCCTTCCTCTCTAAAATCAATAAAAATATATTTTTAAAAAATTCATTCTGCTCCCTTTCTGGGAATTCTATCTTAGTAAGAAGTTTACTTTCTTTTTGGGTATGGCTACTGTCTTATAAAGCTAGATTAAGCTGCAATTAGATAAATCTGTCACTGTCCTCTAATACAATTTAAAATTTCTATGGTTAATGCAGCTTCTATTTTAATAAAAATTCAGAATTTTAATAATCAGTTTTCATTTCAAAGAAAAACTAAGTAAATTCTTATTGTGACAAGCACTTCTAGTCAATTAAGTGGATCATTAGATAAGGGTCAATTTAAACCTGATAATGTGCATTACAATGATTAATGAAATCTTCAACCAAGACATCACAAATTTTTTCCAACTATTGCATGGGAGTAGGCAGGGTTTTAAAAAAAAAATCAAATAAATTAATAATTCTCACACAAATACCAAAAACTTACGAGAAGTTCCCCATGCAGTCTCTCTCCATTCATCATCCCCAAGAAAAATGCCTTTTTGTCCATCTTTTGTTGAATCATCAGGTTCCCAAAACTTTTTGGTAGGCAAAAGCTATTTGGGGGGAGAAAAATATTACATTTAAATTTTATTCTAATTACAAATAACTAATATGTAGAGGAAAGCAAACTTACCACTAATATGTACAAGTTAGTTTCAATGAAAATTCAGAGTGACCTATTACCTAATTTGTCTCAATAAAAAAATAACTTCCTACTTATATTTGAATACTGGCTCTAATAATTCTAGACCTAAACATTAAAGTCAACATCTGATTTCTCCTGATTTTTCAAAAAACATATTGATTGAAAGTCATGTGATTTTCTTTATAAATTTATAAAAAAAACTTATTAAATTTCTAAGATATACATAATACAATAAAAATATCTACACAGTGATAAAATATTTGCCTTTACTTCCAAATACTGCCCTTGGTTCACCTCTTATCCTACAGCTTCCTTGATGGAAAATATTATTTTCATTCCTACTTCACTTAATCAATGGAAGTGACCTTCACTACTCTACCTAGGTCCTGAATATTAATAATCTATCAATTCCAAATGAGGAAGCTATAGATAATGGAAGAGATACACAAAAAAGATAATCAAATACTTCAGAGATAACAATTTCAAAGTCCTGTACTCTTATCTATTCTATATTGCAACATACACAGCACATAAAAGTTATGTTGATAGAATCATTCACTGATTATTCAAAATGTACATTTGGCCAATTCCTAACCATATTCCAATATTCATCTCAGGTCTTTCCTCTTCACCTTCCCTGACAGTCTATATATGTTTATTTGAAAAGAACAGATTGGTTTTCTGAGACATGCATTTAGCATTTTAAAGCATTTGAAAGACTATTCTCTGTCTCAGCCCTATCTTTCAACGCTCAGAATTAACATGTATATACTTATTCGTGTTTGCCTCCTTTAAAGGCAAGGAGACCTTATCTTTATCAGAAACATAAAATTAACTATAATAAAATAAATAGTAAAACTTGAATTGGATGTGAGAGAAAATTATGTGCGTTGGGGGTTCAAAGTGTACGTGAAAAGTGAGGAAGACAAAGTAAATCATAAAGGACAACTAGAGAAGATGCATAGTGTGTGGAATAGGGTGTGAGGTAGAGGAATAGATATAGGAAGGTCAAAGTTGATTCTGATAAAGATTTCTAGGTCAGATTATGAAAAACCTTAAAGACATACCAAGGAAACTGCATAGTATTACATTAAAGCCAAAGAGAATCAAGAGAGGTTGACAAGAGTGACACTGTTTAGAAAACAATTCAAGTTGCACATTGTAAGAATAGGGATATTCTAGATTATAGGCAAGGAAATCAGCTTAGGAGAATTACAATAGGGTGAAGATGACAAGAACTGAAATAGTATGTCAGAAAGTGAGAAAATAGAATGGATGTGAGAAGCATTTAGGAGAATCAATAAAACATAAATGCAAATGAGGATGGATTGATAAAAAAGATAGAACTTTAAAATTTGGTTAACAAGATAAATGTTGTTCTATTGACCAAAACAGAACAACAACAAAAACAACCACAGTAACTGCTTTGAAGAGAATGGGAAAAATTCAACTTGGGCATGTTCCTAATCTACAGATAGATATACTTTAATTTTTAATTTTAAAGGAAACTAACTTCTGCTATTAAAAAATTAAGTTTTTGCATGTTTGCATTTTCCTGGATTGCAAATAATATGTATTTAAAATTTAGACAATACTCTGCTCTAAAAAGGATCCTAATAAAATACTTTTTTGTTCCTTCAATTTTAAAAAACTTATTAAATAAGTTTCATGTAAATATGGAAACAAAAAACAAAGCTACTAATATAATACCAAAATGGTGTACTTAATATATTTAAATTGAACACTTAATCATAGTAAAAACCCAAGTTAATCCCTTAAAAATACCATATAAATATGCCACTTGACAAAGAAAAATGACAAATGATCAGAGAATAAAGAAATGCTCTTATCCCATACTTTATGAAGAAAAATGTTTCAATATCAAAAGAAGAAACCAAATGAAAAATTTAAATTAAAGTTATAACAAAACAAACTAATCTTCTGAGATATTAAAAATAACAGAATCTCTTTAGAAGACTATTTCTGGGTAAGGTTCAGTATAGTGCTTTAGTCATAGATCAATGCTTTAAAATGCAAACTGCACAAATAGGGGGGAATCTATATCAAGCACTAATCTAGTGTGCCTACTTTTTGCCAAGCACTGTGCTACCTATCTTTTCACTTTGCAAACATTTCTAAGTTATCATGCACAAGCAAAGAACTTAGTAGTTAATAATATTAATATTTCTAGCAAAGGCTGTTACCAACATTCCAGAAACAGCTTTCTATGAAGTTTAGACGCTGTCATACTTTTAGAGAAACTATTAGCTTAGAGAAACTATTACCTTTGTGACCAAAGGTTAAGGTAAAAGGACTAAATATACAGAAAGGCAACCATTCAGGACAGAACAGTTAAAAAAGAAAAGATTACATTGGTACATTGTTTGAAACTGCAATAAAAATAGAGATTTGCCCCTGGAGACTTTTTTACTGTAGTGATGCATTACAGAAAACAAGGGCTAAGAGAGCTTGAAGATCTGTAAGATACATTATCCCATAATTCACAAAAGTCTAAACCAAGGTCAGACAACTCAGTATTTCTGGTCAATCTGCTCATCTGTCCTTCTAACTCAGAAATGATTGAATGGACATACAAATTCATCCTTCCATAGTCCTCCATTTTATCAGTTATTTTCTTCAAGTAGCATTTGGAGCTTGCCCTGTCCATCCCCAAGAAATCAGTTAACACCCTAGCGTACTGTCTCAAAATAAATACCCTCTTGCTAGTCTATACTATGAGGGGCACTTAAAGGTCACCAAACTAACAAAATTAACATAATCCTAAGGATTTAAAGGTCATGTGTCTACATTATGATGTTTTAAATTAAGGTGTTCACATAACATCCAATTTGAGACAGTTTTGAGAAAGGAGGTGATTGTGTTTTTAATAATTATGCCATGAAAACAGATATGTACCTGGACTGTCTTGGCAAATTAGAATGTAAGGTGATTATAACAGAAGTTCATACTAGGTTGAACTAAGATGTTAATAACTAAGTGTGCAGAGAACACGAAAGACACAAAGTAATTCCCTTCTAGGACTTTTCTGTTAATAAAAGATATCAATGCTTAATTTTTTCAAATCATACTATTTCCCCAAATTTTCTCTATTTCTAATATCCCTTAATGTCATCAGTAAACATTCTTATATGTTTTTACTTTCAATATGAAGCAATATTGTACATAGTCAAGGCACTCCTAAGTTAAAATTGCCATAGCACTATTAATAGTCTTGGGCCATAGAATTAACCATTTTGAGCTTCAATTTCCTCATTGATAAAGTAAGAATAATAAAGCTACTGTCAAAAAAAGTTTTTATGAGGCTAGAATGAAATAGCATAGCTGTTTAGAACAGCATCTAGCACATAGTAGACACATTACTGAAAATATGTATCTTTTAAGAGAAACAGTTTATTCATGTATAATTATATTATTTTCCATATGAGTAACTGTAATCCTACTTTTGCCCCACCCTGTATATACATAGTAGATAGCAGCATCAAAATTTAAACCCATCTGTTTAATTCTAAGGTACTGTTTTTACATTCAACTACCACAGAAGATGGTTTTTTTAAGCATAGTGTAATCCATCAATGTTCCTGAAAATTTCCAATAATAGGCCACCACTAGATATAATGAATAAAACAGTTTAAGATATTATCATATTTGGCCATATGTAGTTATTTATTATAGTGGATAAAGTTTAAGATAGAATTAAGATAGGAATTTATGCAGACAAAAATATGCTCAGGTATTTAAAAACTATTTGAAATAGCTGGTTTCCATTATATATACATATATAAAAATAGGTATATGTCTCTGCAGTATAGTTTGAAAACACTAGTACATGGATTAGCTTTGCTCTTTTTAAGTATATGACATGACACAAATAGATAGGTCTTTTGATGAAAATGTGCTATAAAAAAAATGGAATGAGTTTATGAATGAATGAATACAAACCTGTTTCTATTTGTGAATAAACAACTAGAAGAGACTGCCCTTCTGAGGATGGGCATGATCTACAAAAACCAATACATATGCAAATAGATCTATATGTAAACAGTGCTTTGTACATTAGAGGTTTACAACTTAAGACATAATAAGGACAACTTTAATTTTTAAGAAAAAAATCAAGAATAGGCCAATCCATTAAAAAAGGATGTCACTTTTAAAAAAATAACAAGCAATTTTAGAAAACTCAAGAACCAGAAATTTAAGGCTGCTTTTATTTATTAAAATGAATGAATTCTGGGATAAAACAAAAACAAAAAAACCTCACCTGTCAGGAAAGGAGGAGAAGACTGGTGAGAGAGAGACAGGCAAAGAAGGAAATCCCAGAAGGTTCCCTGCTGCCTGTGAGATGAGGAAAGATAGAAAGACTTGTGGGAGAGAGAACCCAGAGACAGAAACCTGGTAGGTTTCTTAGCTATCTCTTGGAGGTAACAGAATTAGTTGGTAAACTGTTAAGGAAAACACTTAATTAGTGAGTAACAGCTTATTTAAAAATACATTTTTACTAGATGAAGGTCATAGAAGCACTGATCTGCTGCTATCCACCAAAAAAGCAGGAAGTCTAAACCTAACCACTTTTACTCTGCATTTCTGACATTTCCATTAAGAAAACCTAGATTTAAACTTAGATCATTTAACATACTATTCATCCCAGCTTCTCTCTTTCCAGAAACCTCAAATATCCCTCCCCCATCCCCAAATAACTAAACACTTTCAACTACTGGTTCTGATTATGATTTTTTTTTTCTTACAAACTGCAATATCTTTGGATTTACCAATATTATTTAGAAATGAAGAGGAAAAAAAGAGCCAATCTGAAAATATATACACAATGTAGACTTGGGAAGTAAAGTGCTGGGAGGAGGGTATGTCTAAATAGAATTAAGGTAACGTGTGACTTTACTTGCTCTTAAAAACCATTTAAGTTCAAGTTTGTCACAGACTAGACTGAAATATTATTCAACCTGCTTTTAAGATATGTTTCTTTCTAAAGCAGCAGGGGGAAAAACAAAAGCCCCTTTCAACAGCTTTTTATTCACCCACAGGGTAAAAAATGCCTAAGCAGACTCCACTACACTGTAGTGAAACTGTAATTCTAACTAAAAATTATTCCCTTTTCCAAAAATTTTTTAGGGCCCAGAATTTTACATTATGCACTGAACTAACAAGTTTACTTTGGCAATACTCATGCTTAAGCACCTTAACTCACCCTTAAATTTGTCCTCTGAAAATGACAAACTCTTTGGAAAACGCTGTTCTGGAGAAGGGGAGGGTTAGCTAGCTGCAGAGTGCCCTCTTGTGGTCCAGAGGAGTGACTGGACACTCTTTCTGCATCTGAAGAGCACAGCATTGGATGGAGTGAGTCTCAGGAAGGTCTCTAATCTACCAAAGTAAAATAATCTCCAGGAGCAAGCAATTAATTACACATCTTAGGTCTGTTCATGATTATTTTGTCTTATCAAAGTTCACGCTATGTTAGTACTATAGAACATGACAAAATAAAGATGTGACCACAGGGTTTTCACCAACAATTAAGATTTTTCTAAACACTCATTAGGTATATGGAATACTAATTATTTTTGATGCCTTAAAAAATATAATGATGAGATTAAATGGGATCTCCAAAGTCGTATATTAACAGGACTGATAAAGAGCATTAAAAATTTTAGAATACCCACTGTGTGCTAATCATTCGAAGCTATCAATCTACTAAGGACACTAATATAAAACAATAAACTAACCAGTAATATAATAAAGTATAATTAAAGATCTATAAGAAGTCAGATGAGGAAGTATAATTCCACTGCAGACAGCAATAGGACAATATAGATAAGCACCTTATCCAACAGAGTCTTGTAGAGGATTAGAAGTTTTTTTAAACAAACAGTGAACAAGGAGAGATTTTTGGAAGAGAGAATAGTGAACAATTTAGTATGGCTAAAGCAAACAACATACATATATAAAACAGAAGGACAAGAATCAAGAAAGCTCTTTTCTGAGCAAAGTATTTATGAATCATTACAAATATAATACATTATTTAACCAATCAACTGGACACAAATCTCAGTAAAAAAAAAAAAAAAGCTGAAAAATCACAACTACATAACTGTATATTTTAAAAATCTGCATCATTAACCACTAATTTCAAGATTTATAGTTAAAATAGGCTCAGTGGCTCAAATAATCAAAATGAAATATACATTCTTAGCATCCATAAATATTTACCTCTCCCATTCCCCGAGATTCTAACGCAAGAGCTTGAAAATCATGATTCATTTCATCCACAAATCAAACCTGTTGAATAACAAAAACAGAATTAGAAGAAAAATTTAAATAATGGACTGCATTAACTATTTTTATATTATATTAAAGTTACTACTGATGTTAGCATGAGTTGAGATGGGCAAGAACAAATTTCTCTATGGAGACAGGTTTTCCTAAACAGAGCACATAACAGCAATCTATATTAAAAACTGTGAGCCAGCCAGGCCAGTGGGGTTCAATGGTTGAGTGTCAACCCATGCACCAAGAGGTGGCTGTTTCAATTCTTGGTCAGGGTACATGCCCGGGTTGTAGGCTTGATCCCCAGTGTGGGGGATGCAGAAGGCAGCTGGTCAATGTTGATGTTTCTCTTTCATCAATGTTTCTCTCTCCCCCTAAAATCAATAAAAACATATTTTTAAAAATTGTGTGGAAAAAGAAAATCTACTAGTTTCTTGAGCAAAAGAATAGAAGGAAAATAAAGACAGGAAGCAAGCTCAAGTACTAACGTGTAGTTATCTTTTTCTTTAACATTGCAGTTCCTATTATAAAATTATTTTGTATTACATATTTCAGTTAAGGTTTTTCAAAATTCTTCAGCATTTCATTATTTGTAGATCTCATTGCAATAAAAAAATTTCACTAAAATTACTTTAGTGATGATATAATTCAAAACAATACATAAATTAATCAGCTGTAACTATAATGCTCATGTTTTCTTAAGAATAATTCTTAAAAAAAATAATTCTTTCCATTCCCCTAAAATGCAAACTAAAACATGTATTTCTATCTTTTTCACTTCAAATAGTTGAAATTGCTTTTTATCTTTCCTATGACAGTGAATATGTTCTTGAGTAAAAGGCCCTTGCCTCATAGTATTAAATATTGCTGGAGAAAAGCACTTAAGCCTAAAACAAATTCATAGTCCTCAAAGTTTTGGGCCTTACAATATAATCCTGTTTTGTTTTTTCCCCCAGTTATCTCTAAAATCCCATAGCATTTTTACATTACAAAGCACTCCTTCCTTCCTGTAATCCTGCTCTCTGTAGCTACTACGTCCCTTATAATTCTTCTTTTTTACTTTCTTATAAGTTATCTAGTTGCTTCTTCACAGACTGTTACCAAAATGCTAGTGTCACAGACTGTTACCATAAATGCTAGTGTTCCCTTGGTATATCTAAAATACTCTTTTCTATCCTTTGTTCTGAGCAATCTCTTCCACTCTAATTGCTTTGAGAAATATATGTATATTCTTAGGACCCTCACCTCCATATTCATATTCCTAAACCAAATCTCTCTCCTCTTCAAAATTTCCAACTATCTTTGACTTCAATAAAACACACTCTACACAAGAGAAAAAAAATCATAGACTAGAAGAAAGATATACAAAATCACATATCCAATACAGGATCTGTATCCAGAATATATGAAAAACTTTTTAAAAAATAAGAACCCAATATAAAAATGGGCAAAAAATCTGAACAGATACTATATAGAAAATATGTGGTGCTGCATGATCTCACTCACATGTGGAATCTAATGAACAAAGTAAACTGATGAACAAAATAGACCCAGAGACAGAAGCATGGAAAAGACTGTCGAACCTCAAAGAGAAGGTGGGGGAGGGTGGGTGGGCAGCAAGAGATCAACCAAAGAACTTGTATGCATAACCCATGGACACAGACAATAGGGCAGTGAAGGTCTTTTTTTGGGGGTGTGGGGGGAGGCCTAGAAGAGGTCAATGGGGGGAAAAGGGGACATATGTAATACTTTCAACAATAAAGAGTTATTAAATGAAAAATAAAATAAAGATTAAAAAAAGGTTCAGGGTTAAAATGATGACACAAAAGGACCCATGAAATGCACTGACTGTAATGTTTGTTGAACTCTATACTGTACTACTTGATATCACTGAAATAAGGTACCAGAGTGCATTAAAAATGTTTTTGGTGACTTGTGGAAAAAAAAGAAAAAGTTATGTGGCAGCAAATACCGTAACTATTCTTTTCTCTTAACTTGTTAGGAAAGCTGGTTCACTAACAGTTCTCACACAACCAACATTTCATTCATCCGTTAGTTCAGTAAGCTTTTACTGGGCATTTTCAATGTGTAAGACTTTTCTTTTTTAGAGAGAGAAAAGGGAAGGGAGAAGGGAGAAACAGATGTGAGAGGGAAACATCATTGGCTGCCTCCTGTATGCCCCCTACAGGGAAAACTGAACCAGCAATCCTTCAGTGCACAGGATTTTGTAAAGAAAACACTGAGTTAAAATATGACTACTGTTCTCAAAGAGTTTGAATTAGCCTGATATGTTTTCTGGTAATTGAAGGAGTAGCTCCTATCAAACCAAACCCTCCTAGAGATAACAAAAATAAAGCTATAATTTAAAATAAATTAGTAAAACTTTAAACAACCCAGTTAAAAGGCTTGAAGATCCAAGGAACAGAGTTTGGAACAAAGAGAACAGCTGGCAACTAAGAAGGGAAGTCTTAAAAAGGAGGCAACCAAATTCTGCTCAGATTTTTAGACCATCTCTATACTCTGTGTGGAATAGATTCCAAGCAGCCCAATTAAGGTGAAAATAACTAAACAAAATATCTGCTGCTGACCACCACAGAAGTCACAGAGTTCCAATCCCATGAAAACAAAAAACAATTAGAAACCAATATTCTCCATAGAATTTAGAGCATTTTTAATGTAAACATATGTCTAGAACACAAACCAAAATTATTAGACATGAAAAAAGAACACCCCCCCCAATTATTAGACATATGTAGATACTGAAAAAATTCCATTAATAGATACCAACTCCAAGATGACCCAGGGGTTAGAATTAACAGAGATCTTAAAGTAGCCGCTATAATTTTGTTCAGAGATAAAAGAAAAACACATGCTACTAATGAAAGAAAAAAAAAATTTTAGCAAGCAAAACTATAGAAAGAAACCCTAAAACTGAAAATTAATTAATTTTAAATGTCACTGGATGCACATAACAGCAGATTGGAAATAAAGGGCTGATGAATTTGAAGTCAGATCAATAGAGATCTCCAATCTGAAGAGAAAAAGATAAGAGAATGAGGTGGAAAAATTATTTGAAGAAACAATAACCACAAATTCCCCCTAATTTCATGAAAGCAAAATTTACAGATTCAAGACAACAGTGAACCCTAAGCAAGAAATAGAAACAAAAACCATGTACATACTAGTAAAAATGCTGAAAAACAAAGATAAAAATAAAATCCTGAAAATAGCTAGAGGAAAAAAACAACATTACAGTAAGGGGAAAATGATATAAATGACCACTGACTATGCACTAGGAACAATCAGGACCAGAAAATAAAGGACCAGACTTTAAAGTACTGAAAGAGCCAAAACCGGTTTGGCTCAGTGGATAAAGCGTCAGCCTACAGACTGAAGGGTCCCAGGTTCGATTCCGGTCAAGGGCATGTACCTTGGTTGCGGGCACATCCCCAGTACGGGGTGTGCAAGAGGCAGCTGATCGATGTTTCTAACTCTCTATCCCTCTCTTTTCCTCTCTGTATAAAATCAATAAAATATATTAAAAAAAATAAAGTATTGAAAGAAAGAGAAAAAAAAAAGCCAAACTACAATTTTATCTGATGAAAATAATTTTTAAGAATAAAGACCAAAACAAAGATATTTTTAAATAAAAAGAAAATTCATTACAACAGACTTCTTCCTCAAGAAATGCTTTAAAAGAAATTCTTCAGGCTAAAGGGAAACATACCAGATGGGAATTCAGATGATCAGGAATGAATAAAGAGCACCAAAAATGGAAGAACATGCCTAAATACAGAAGACTATTTCCCCCCCTCTTAGTTTCTTTAAAATACATAAGCCCACTTAAAGCAAAAATTTCAATACTGCCTTATGAATTCTATAGCATTTGTAGTACTACTTTACATGTATAATCAATATCCATTGTAATAAATATTTCTAGCCATACCATCATGACATTGAGTTTTAAAGCAAAATCCAATTTGAGATAAAAATATTTTTATCACAAAAAAACTTTATATAAATATATACTTTGGATATTTATATATACCCTCAACCATCAAGAAAGAAATCTTAGTCTGAATGTGTCCTATCATTTTATAACATACAATCCAAATTCTTTATCTTAATGACACACTAATGACTTAATATAGTCTACTTTAAACATCTTTGATTTCTAAGTTTCTTTAAATTTCCCTAAATTTGGAAAAAGTACACTCATTCTCTAAGTTCTTCATAGGATTTCATATTGCTCTTGATTCTATGCCCTGTATATTTTTTTCCTAAGATTTACAATTATGATCTCATTTTCTCTTCTATCTATAGTCCTTATATTTTCTAGATCACTTAATGGCAAATCATATGAAAGCCTTATGATAATAATAATAATATTATCAGGAATCACCTAATATTTACACAACTTTCTAATTTCCTTTTCTAAAATATATTTTATTGATTTTTTACAGAGAGGAAGGGAGAGGGAGAGTGAGTTAGAAACATCGATGAGAGAGAAACATCAATCAGCTGCCTCCTGCACACCCCCTACTGGGGATGTGCCCACAACCAAGATACATGCCCTTGACGGAAATCGAACCTGGGACCCTTGAGTCCACAGGTCAACACTCTATCCACTGAGCCAAACTGATTAGGGTAACTTTCTAATTTCTTAAGAATGCTACAAATTTAGTCCTAGCCAAACCAGTGTGGCTCAGTTGGTTGAATGTCATCCTATGCACCAAAATGTCAGGGTTTCAGCCTATTAATGTTTCTCTCTGTATCTCTCCCTCTTCCTTCCTCTCTAAAATCAATAAAAACATATTTTTAAAAAATGCTGCAAATTTAAATCCTATCAGCTTGACAACACATCCACGTGATTCTGACTTCATCAATCAATTTGTAAAATATATTAAACTAGAGGCCTGGTGCACGAATTCATGTACATTGAAAGGAAATTGATTAGAAGTAGATTTTAATATTGCTATTTGCCCCTTATAATA